GACAAAGAGAGAATGAGAGAAAAGAGAGATGGGGGAAGAAAGAAAGAAAGAAAGAAAGAAAGACAAAGAGAAAGAATAAGAGAGAAAAGAGAAAGAGAGAGACAGGGAGAGAAAGAGAGACAGAATGAGAGAGAAAAGAGAGACAGGGAGAAAAAGAAAGAAAGACAGAGACAGTAAGACAAAGAGAAACAGAATGAGAAAAAAGAGCGAGAAGAAAGAGAAAGAATGAAAGAGAGACAGAGAAAGAATGAGAGAAAAGAGAAAGAGAGACAAAGAGAGACAGAATGAGAGAGAAGAGAGAAAAACAGGGAGAGAAAGAGACAGTGAGAGTAAGAGAGACAGAGAATGAGAATGAGAGAGAGAGACAAGGAGAAAAGAAAGAGGGAGAAACAGAGAGCGAGAGAAACAGAGCAAAAATAGAGAAAAATGAGAGACAGAGAAACAGAGAGAGCAAGAAAGAGAAAGAATGAGACAGAGAAACAGAGAGAGTGACAGAAAGAATGAGAGACAAACAGAGTGAGAGAGAGAACAATAGAGAGAGAGAGAGACTCAAACTCTAATAACTTGAGCCTGTGTGAGTGTAAACACCTCCATACAAGTGTGTATGTTTAAACCCTGGATTACTGTGTGTGTGTGTGTGTGTGTGTGTGTGTGTGTGTGTGTGTGTGTGTGTGTGTGTGTGTGTGTGAGTGTGATAAAACAGTAGGGGTGTAAATGCGTCGTGATGTGTCAGTCTGTAGGAGTGTTATAACTCTATCAGTTTGGAATGCTGGGATGTGTCGCTCAGGGTGTTTGATACAGCACAGTGTCGTCCCAATACGTTTCCAATACAGGAAACATTAATCAGTACCTGAAGATCCACCTGTTGGATCCTTCGTTGCCATGGAAAACAAAGACACATTTCTCGGCCGAATATGAAGGAGCCTTCGAAATGGGACAGCCTAGTTGCGCCGCTGTGACGCAATCAGCCTTCAAATACAGCCTCTGAAGGATGCAGCCCCTAAATTAGGACCCCTAAATTTAGACTGCTGCAGTAGTCTTTCTGTTTCTTTCTTTGGACTAAACAGATGATAAACTCGTATGATGCAGGCTCTTCACTGCCTCCTGGTGGAGTAGAATTCAGACTTCAGAGTCCTTCTAAGAATGCATAGCGTTAGAGACCAGCTAATTTGCATATTGAAAATGCTATTTGAACTTCTAAGCTTTCATGACTATTGTAATATTCGTAAAGGCTTTTAAATAAAACCCTTTTAGAAGCCTAAGTAAACCTATTTTTGTACATTAGCTGTGCTTTGTTACTCTGGGATGTCCCTTCACTTTTTAATCAGAACCTCTTTTAACAACAAAAAAACAGAAATATTTTTATTGTACAAAATAGTAAAAGCAAAACTTAACAACCTGTGTCGGTATTGCTTTTTGGCTAAATAGCCACATTTATGTGCAGCCTAATAATCCATTAATAATCCAACTATTAGCTACTAGCTAGGCTGGCAGGCAGTGTTCAAGGTTAAACGGTGAATTTGCAGTTATAGTCCAGCGTTTATGACCATTTATTGTTAAAACAATGATGAGCAGAACTTTATTTTACTGCGAAGCAGGATTATTTTATTCTTCCCTAAAAATCTAATTCTGCACTAATTCGGCACAACAGGGCAGTAAAAGAGCCACATATGTCTCCGGAGCTGCATGTTGCCGACCCCTGGACTAAACAGGTGAGAAACTCTGACCAAAATGTTAGACGCTGGCCCTTCACTGCCCCATATAGTATAGAGTTCAGACATATCATGGTTCTTGGGGGGGGATATATTAGAGACGAGATGGTTTGCATCAAGAATGTAAACTTTCCTGAATATTTGAGTATCTGAAAACTCTGATTCATCCATGCTTGAAGGCACCAATGCTAATGTTCCAAGATTAAGAGAGCATAAGCCTCTTTCTCCACTCCAGTGTTTCCAAGATGAAGGATGAGACCGCATACGTACACAATCCGAAGATAATGCTCGTCTGTAATACTCTCTGTTCACATATACACCTACTATAGAGCGCATGACATCTGCCCTGTATACGTCTTCAGGATCAGGGAGTAATATCCTTCATCTCTGGAGGCAGGAGACAGGATTCTTGTGCGTAAGTGAGGGAGGCGCCAGTGGCGTGACGATGCAGCCTCATTATGTGTGTGTGTGTGTGTGTTTGAGCCTCCGGTGGCGTGGTGATGCGCCGTTGCTAAAAATAGACAGGGCTCTCTCCAGTCGTTAAAGTTCATTTTCCCCTCTGCCTGACTGCTGTTCTAACCTGCACACACTGGCATCTTCAGACTCCCGCTGTGCTTACACTGGAGACACGACAACACACATACACACACAGGAATGCATGCGCTCGTACACACATCTACCTACGAGAGCACCTGAGCGAGACGTGCAATCTAAGATAATTCAATTTCGGATCATGCAGTCTAGCTGAGGCGGCGGACCGCTTTGAAGCTGATTTCATTAATTAGACTGATCTCATTACTTAACCACATCAGTCACAGCATGATTTAATGACAGCGCTGTGAAGATTGCTCATGATCTGTAGATATTCTTTAGCTGTCTGAGTATTTTGCTGCGTAGATGCAAATTCGATCTGCCCTGATTTGAGAGGAAAATCGTCATTATGCCCAAAATAGATACAGAAATAGGTTCTGGACATGAAGTTGTAATTATGCATTATGCACTAGGCCATTTTACTCTAAGATATCAAGAGCTGTAAGTAGGGATGTGCAATGATATCAGACTCATATCAGTATCGGCAGATAATTGTTGAAAAAATGTGTCAGTGTCAGAGCAATGCTTAGACTTAGTAATGTAGGCAGAAATTTGATGACACATTTATTGTATATCAGATCAGCAGAATGGTAATTTTTGCAGCTAGACATGGCACTGATCCAATACTGACTATCAACAGAAAATGGTTAGATTTTATCGGTCAGCACTGAAGGTGTCAGTATCTGTATCAAAAAAGAAAAAGTGTTTTTGTGCCATCTTTAGCTAAAACATTTATTATATTTCTTGTCATACGTTATGTTTCTATATAATGCTAATCCATGTGGATCCCAGTACCAGTTTCTATAGTCTATAACTGTGTAAGTGTCATCAGCTTCGACAGATATGCACATCAAAAATAACGGATACTGTCCCAATCTGTCATATCTGTGCATCCTTAGTTATTACTTAGTTATAAGTTATTACTGTCATTTTCCTTTACATTCTTTTCAATACAGAAACAATGTAAATTGTAAATTGTACTCAGTAATTAATACACACACACATTTTCTAAATCACTTAACCTTCTGGGTCGCGGGGGTCGCTGGAGCCTATCCCAGCAGTCATTGGGCGAAAGGCAGGATACACCCTGGACAGGTCGCCAGTCCATCACAGGGCATCATTAATTAATACATTCATTATTGATTAATTAACTAAATAGTTACATTTGCATTCAGTTTCTATATCCACAGGAGCTACTACCTGTTTTGTGGCAATGAGGAAGATAATTTAGAAGTAAATTTCGACTGGAATTCCTCCTCCCACTCCCACTGCTGCTATATCAATGATCAGATCCGTGCCAGACTCAGTATCTGAATTTACATTAGAAAAAAAATGTGGCGTGTGGGTTTGGCTGGCTGTTTAATGATAGGGGAAACGCTGAAATTTGAATAATACAAACTAATGCTGTTTGTTTTTGCAGTGTGTCATGCGACATATATCTTGCTTGGCGATATGACATCATCTGCCCATTTAACATGCCCTTGTCCACTCTTCCTCTTTTTTAGAGATCTTTTAGAGATTCTCTAACATAAGAGGAGTTGTTTGGCTTTGTGGAAAAGAATAACGACTGGTTTGGCCAATCAAATCAGACTTTGCAAGTTAGAAGCCAATCAGAAGTCACTGAAGCTCTTTCAAGTGTCACAACAGTTTCCTTCAGCAACGGAAAAACAGGTTATACATCAACAACATCCAAAAACGCCACCGACTTCTCTGGGCTAAAGCTCATCTGAGAAAGACTGACGTGGAAATGTGTGCCGTGGGCTGACTAGTCCGCCTTTGTTTTTGGAAATAATGGACGTTGCGTTCTCTGAGCTAAAGAGGAAAAGGACTGTCCTGACTGTTACCAATGCAAAGTTCAAAAGTCAGCATCTGTCATGGTATGTGGGTTTGTTAGTGAGTAACTTACGCATTTTGGAGAAACATATGCTGCCATCTAGATGACGTCTTTTTCAGGGGCATCCCTGCTTGTTTCAGCAAGACAACACCAAACCACATTCTGCATGTATTACAACAGTGTGACTTTACAGTAAGAGAGAGCAGGTGCTAGACTGGCCTGAATACAGGACAAAAGCATTTGCAAATCATTGCTGTCTGTTTTTATTTACATTTTTCCTGTTGGCTGATTGGCTTTGTAGTTTAGAACCTCAAGCCTATCAAATCAAGTAATATGGTTTTCAGTGTTAAGCATTTTAAAGTACTTTCCTGCTATGGCTTTAAAAAGCTTTGCCTTTTTGGGTTTGAAAAGGAAAATGCGTCAGATCGCAGTGATTTCTGGGCAAAGTCTGCTGCTGAGGTCAACACTTTTGTTCACTCAGTCCCTCACCCCTCCAAGGGCTCATCTAACTCATCTAACTTGAGCTAATAAAGTAAAGGAACGGCCCTTAAGATGGCCTCGGGGGTCCCCTGAGGGGAAATGACAAGGCCAAGTAGACAAGGACTTCTTAAAACCAATATTGAAATGGGCGGTAGGGGAAACACTGAGAAGTAAATTTGGATTTAAATGATGCACATTATCACTGTTTGTCTTTGAAATGCGTCATGCTTAGCAATACGTCATGTTTCCAGTCCTAGGGGCAGCTGATATAGCGCAATCCAACATACCTCAGGGTAGTCATTTGAGCGTTCCGCTGCACCGAGTGTGCGAGGATTACGCTATGTATAAGGGTAATTGGCTGTCATTCTGTCTTTCTTTTTCAGCCATCCATGAATTCCCTGAAGACATCTTTACCAAGGAGCAGCGGAAGAAGGGGGCCGTGCTGCTTCATGTGCTGTGTGTGAGTGAAACACACGCTCACTCGCTCTCGCACACACAAGAGTGTCAGAAAAAGACCCTCCATCATCAGAGATTACATGGTTGACCTTTCAGTGCGTACAGCATAATGGACAAGCTATCATATCCCAACAGACGGTGCTAAGCCATTGTTACGGCACTTTTGATTGACGCTAAGCAAAAAAAGACGCAATTGACCAAAGACCAATTGCTTTGCAGTCCCCACTCTATTATCATGGAATGATGGACGTTGAACCGTCCTCTTCTGTTTTACTTGTTATCTTATTATTTTTTCCACTTTCATTCTGAGCCCCATTTCATTTCTGCATGGCCCGATTCTCTCCCACTCCCCCTCAATCTCACTCTCTCTCTCTCTCTCTCTCACCTCCAGGCCATCTACATGTTCTACGCTCTCGCTATCGTGTGCGATGACTACTTCGTTCCTTCCCTGGAGAAGATCTCCGAGGTGAGAAGTGGCACCTATCAGGCACTCCCGGAAGGGCGGCGTATGTCGCGTCCGCACTAAGTGATGACAGCCCAATTTGTTCCTGCTCAATGTTAGCGCCACGGTGTCACGAACTCTCATTAAAGGTCTCGATAACGAGGCACATCTAGGAAGTGCGTTTTCCCTTCGGATTGGGCCTCCTTGCTTTCCCTACGGCGCCTGAGACTTTTAAACTGGGGCTTTTCAACCTTCAGATAAAGCTGCCTTTGTGGGGAGTGACTGCTCTAAAAGGAGCTTAGCCAAAGAAATGGGATTGAATCGAATCATAATCCCATGAGATATGTACCTCATTCTGTAGTGTCCGGATGCCGTTCCTGAGGGAGAAAAAAACTGAGCCTATATTACCTGACCTAGATTTCATTCGTCTAGTAAGTTTAGGATGATTACGAAGATTAAACTGTCTTAATTGCATACTCATCTGTAGCGTTCCTCTTCATCTGCTTCAGAATCTGCACCTCAGTGAGGATGTGGCCGGAGCCACCTTCATGGCTGCGGGAAGCTCCGCCCCTGAGCTCTTCACCTCCCTCATTGGTCAGTTCCGGGATTGCTTCTCTATCTACCCATTACGATTGGTTATGTAGTGAGCTTGGTTACAAATGTCATGTTACGTGAGTATAAACCAACACTCTAGTGGTTAAAAGGTTCTTAACACTTCTAGGAAATCAGGCCACAGATCTGAGTTTATTTTTTAATTGCTTGTCAGAAGCCCATGAGATGTCAGCTTAGCCTTCCTAGTATATTTGCACAATAAAATGTGGGGGAAAAGCATGTAGGGGTGCACTGAAAGTTATTAGACCACAGCCTGCCAGAAGTGATTCGTCTGCATTCAAATTCGTTTCAATATCTGTAATTAACTCCAAGTGCTGAGCAGTTTAATTAATTAGCAGTTGGTGAAACAGCATCTTGGCCATCCCAGATTTAGCTCTGAGCTTTATAACAGGGGGTCTAATAAATATACTCAGGCAAGAAATTAGAAGAAGTTGTACAAGCTGTACTGTATTGTGAATGAAGGCGCTGTAAATGTTCCTGACTGGGAGTTTGGAACCCAACACATATAGAGTACTGTGCAAAAGTCAGAGACCACCTTCGGCTATTAAGAACAAGTTGTTCATTTTTCAGGAGATATTTCTGAAAAGATTAGATATAAGACATTTTACATTTATGGCATTCGGCCGACGCTCTTATCCAGAGCGACTTACAATTTGATCATTTTACACAGGTAGGCGAAGGTAGTGTTAGGAGTCTTGCCCGAGGACTCTTATTGGTATAGTGTAGGGCGCTTGAACCCCCGTCTACAGCATAGAAGGCAGAGATGTAATCCACTACACTATACCAACCATTAGATATAAGATGATCCACTTGTGTAAGGAAAGGATAAGTAAGAAAAAACAGGAAATTCCAAAACTGGAGTTTAAAAAAAGATTAAAAGCTACAGAGAAAATGAGACTCCTAACAACCACCTGCAAGACCTGGTAGACACCAAAACTGTCCCCATCAGATAAACAGAATTTGGAGAAAGAGGAGAAAATCAAGCTGCTTCAGATCTGAAAAGATCCACAGGTGTTTCTGTCCATCCTTCCACTGTGAGAAGACGACTCAACACTAGCCATGTTTTCATGCAGCCTGATAATCCATTAATAATCCGACTAATAGCTCAATCGGAATAGAATACGTCCCTGTATACACCTCAATCAGAATAGGCTAGTCCGATTGAGGCCATTCAGAATACAATTGCTGTCCGGCTGAACGGGGTGGGTAACAGTGTAAATAATCTGATTACAGAAACTGATGTGCAGAGGAGGTGTAGTTTATGCTTTGATCTTCAAAAGGCGGCGGTGGGACGAGCGTCCAGTTTATGTGTCTCAGAACACGACGTCTTCCTCTCGGCCTTCTTTAATAAGTACGTGAAGTATGTTTTCCTGAGTCTGACATAAATTTAAAGTAATTAAAAACTCAAGCACTGCTTACAGCTTCTCGTCACACTCTGACTGGACTCACGTGATGCTGGTTGTCATGGTAACATCTACACTAAGCGGTACTCTGCGCATGCACGTAATTTTGGATCTGATCACTTGTAGTGTGAATGTAAACAGAGATTTTCCATCAGATTGTTGAGTAGAGTGAGCAAATACATCTCAGTCTTAATCTATAATCGGAATGTATTCAATCGGATTGGCAAAATATTTGCATATGAACACAGACACTGAGTCTGAAAGGATGTGTAGACAAAAAAGAAGAACATTTGCAAATCAAACAATGAAGCATCTGGTGTTCTCCAAACAATGGACTGACCACCTCAGAGTCCAGACCTTAACATCGCTGAATGTGTTTGGGATATTTTGGATCATGAGAAGCAGAAAATGCAACCAACTTCTAAGACTGAACTTTGTAGGTGTGGGAAAATATCCCTGCCAAATTCCAGACTTTTGAAAAATATATTTTTTCGTATGTAGATTCCTGTTAAACACATTTTCTGCTTTTTCCTGATCCTGAAAAATGAACAACTTGTGGCTGTTTTGACTAGATATTAAAAAACAAAAATGAAGGGTGTTCAAAGACTTTTGCACAGCACTGTAAACTACTGGCCACTTTTTTAGAAACGCCTGCCTTGTACATCCACTGTGTGAACTTAAAGTGAGTCTATATTAACCTTTGCTGAAACGCTGTGATTGAAATCCTGAATCTTTTAGCGCTTGTGTTTCTAGCAAGGTGGTCTTCTGTTTGATTGGCAGGTGTGTTCATCACTAAGGGAGATGTGGGTGTGGGGACCATAGTCGGGTCAGCTGTCTTCAACATCCTGGTCATCATTGGAGTGTGTGGCATCTTCGCCGGCCAGGTAACTATCTGTTCAATCTGTTCTATAGTGGCTGTTCCACAGTATACATTCAGACACTGTTCAGCCAACTGAAAAGTCTAATTCACACCGCAAGCGTTTCTGATATGTTTTTAGCCACCTGTCTGATGATCAGGATCAGATACGCTTACATTTTTATCAGTGTTTCTATCCATAGATACACACACCTTGCATGTAACAAACATGACCTCTTCCATCCTGCTACATTTCTTTATGCATCAAGTCTATTTTTTAATCTACTGCAATGTTTTGATCGCATTGGCCTCGAGTTGTTGTAGAGACACTACCACACTAATGGTGTCTGGAGGCCTCAGTTATGCCAAGGGTCCTTTTATCTGACGCCAACTGTGCCAAAAACTTGTGATTGTGACTTTGTTGCAGTAAACAGATCTTCTGTTTCTGGCAAAACTGTTTAATTAGAAAAGAAAAGTTGAAAAAGAGAGCTGCTCTATGATGAAACTGAGCTGGAGGCGGTGCATATTAGACGAGTGGTCACTTGCACGTTTTATTGCGCCTATTTTTATATATATATATATGTTAAGATTATCGACCTCTGCAGTCGTGTGTCACTCTGTAGCTGGTATCGTGTCTATTTAGGTCAGTTCTCTACAGGAATAATGAATGGAGTTTTCAAAAAACTCTGCTATAGTTCCCTGTGGTAAACAACAATGTTCCAAAGCCATTTTTTTCCACAAGTTATTTTTCCTAGATCCTCTAAATGATGAGGTTGTTAAAGAGTCAAAATATGAATATTTCCACATGCAAGCTAACAGTTCTGCGCACTTAATGTAACAGGACAGACTCAGTCAGACACTTGCGGTTAAAGGTGAAAAATAGGCTTTACTTGTTTGTCCACAAACCACAATCAAAGTCAAAAATGGTCAGATCCAAAATGAGCAAACAATATACAAACATTCCAGGCAACCGAAATCCAGAAAGGGAACAGGCAAAAGGCAAAGTCGATAAATACAAACAAAGGGTCAGATACAGGGAATAACTCAGAATACGGACAACAGCGCTCAGGAGCTGTACGGATGAAGCACTACCTCACAACTAACTAAGCCTAAAGCCTGTACTTATAAGCTAACTGGATTTTGTCACATGATCAAATACACAGGTGAAAAATATCAATAGTGCAGTGATCTCTGATAGGCGGAAATGTGTGGCCTAGATGTCACATGATCACCCAGGGGGTTCTGGGTATTGGAGTCCTGAGAGTCATGGGTGGAGGGATGCCTGACACTTAAAACTATTTAATAAAACAATTAAGCGAATTTCAACTTGTGAAAATAATACTTAAATAATGCTTTTTTAACTATCTTTTTGATACACTTTTAAAGGGAACTTAAAAGATTTAATATGAATTTAATTATAAACTAAAGAAACTTTAATCAAAAAATGCTGTCCCATGTTTTCATGTCACTACTGAAACACTACTGAGTTTTAGTCCATAGGCAGAGCCTTATTTTAGCCCTGCCCCTGCATTTTAGAGTAGGAAGTGAGACTGCATCCCTGTCCCTCATGGCCACGGGGTAAGTAAATGTGTCCCAAAGCCTGAAAATCAGCTTGGAACATTAAGAATTGTCCCTACCGAAACACATATTTTCTGCAATTAAGTAAACTTTTGTGTGTTTTAATGAAAAATATTATGCTTTCTGTGTGTACAGCTGTTCACAGATGTGTTTGTTACACATGTACTGGCTAGCATAGAGTTCTGATCAAAATGAGCTACAGTTGTCACTACCGAAACAGTCACCACTGAAACATTTGGTAAATTTGCAGTATTGTTGTGATTCTTTTGTTAGTGACGAACACAATTCAGTTAAAGAGTCACTCAAAGCAGAAGGATTTCAGTCTGAAATCCAAGTCAGTTAGAAGTCTTAGATGTGTTTTCGGCTCTGATTTTGAACCAGTGCGGTAAAACGATCCATGTAACAGAGTTGACGTTTAATACTAGGCTTACTTTCATGTGACATCATAGCGAATCAAGCCATTTCATAGAGAAAACCAGCTTAGACCTACAGTTCGTAACAGGCATGATGCCGACTACAGAATGACGTACAACTTCCGAGATCTATAAGAGTGCTTCACTTTTAAAACGTTACGCCTGTGATTTTCTCTCTGACATATGTCAGCTATATTGTTTGTAGTCATTGATGTGCATTTCCCGGCTTGTTGTTTACAGGCTGTGGCGCTTACCTGGTGGTCTCTGTTCAGAGACTCTATCTACTACATCCTCTCCGTTCTGGCCTTAATAATGGTGAGTATGTGTGAGACGTTTGAGTGAGAGAGAAATGTCCTTGGGATTAAGCTGAACAACAGCAATGACAATCAAATGTTATATCCTTCTCAGAATGAAAGCCCTTGGCTAAATACACCATTAAATAAACCTGATGTGAGCAATAAAGAATTTCCATGTGAGCCATTACCAGCGCTCTGACTTACCTATTCAATAATAATAACGCGTTTTATTTTGAGAGCTTTTCATGTCTCACAAGGTCACTGTTATTAGTTCTGTGCCTTCATTTATTTCCCACTCTTGCAGGTCATCTATGATGAGAGGGTTGTGTGGTAAGTCTAATTACAGCCATTCATTACATTCAGATACGAATGAGTGCATCAAACATGCTCTCGTATCAGCTTATTACCTCTGTGCTTTGCTCAGACAGAAGGAGCCTCGCGATGAAATTAGTCATAATCAAAGGCTTATTAAAAGGGAGAGAACTATCAGCCAGCGAACATTTCATTTCCTTTTCTGAACAGAAGTCTTTTTGGGTTTTTTTCTGAAGGTATATTTTAAAAGCAAATGTTATCTGAGCTCAGAGCAGCGGGAGTCTGATTACCTTTTTAAAAGCAAAAAAAGTGATGTTTTTTTTATTTCTGTACTTTAACTTTAAAATTAGTTATTAAAATTAATCTTAAAATTGACATTAACAATAAAACACATAAAATGTCTGCATTTACCATTAATATGGTCATTTTGGGCTGTCCCACCTCATTGACGTTGAACTTCTCTATGGAATATATTCATTAAAATCATTCAGTAAGACTATAAATACAGTGTTATTCATTTCCAAGCAATTTAATGTTAAAACATTTATTATTACCTATTAGTTTACAACCCCATTTCCAAAAAAGTTGGGACACTGTGCAAATGTAAATAAAAACAGAAGTTCAGTGATGTGCAAATCATTTAAAACCTATATTTAATTGAAAAATGGACAAAGACAACATAGCAAATGTTGAAACTGTGAAATGTTATTGTTTTTGAAAAATATATGCCCATTTTGAGTTTGATGCCGGCAACACGTTTCAAAAAAAGTTGAGACAGGAGCATCAAAATACTGGTAAAGTTGTGTAATGCTAAAAAAATCTCACAACTAATTAGCTTAACCGGCAACAGCTCAGTAACATGATTGGGTATAAAGTCCCAGAGAGACTTTCAGAAGTCTGGGGGAGGGGTTCACCACGCCGTCACGATTCTGTAGAGGAAATCACTGCATGGGCTCAGAAACACTTCTGAAAACCACTGTCTGTGAAAACAGTTCATCACTGCATCCACAAATGCAAGTTAAAAGTTAGAAGTCTACCATGCAAAAAAGAAATCATATGTAAACAGGATCCCGAAACTCCGCGTTTGAAATTCTTAATGGAAATCATCCAGCTTGATATCAGCTCACAGTTCAAAAGCCAGCTTCTGTGATGGTATAGCGGTACATGAGTGTACATGGCACGGGTGACGTGCACATCTGTGAGGCACCATCAGTGCTGAACAATATATACTGGTTTTGGAGCAACATATGCTGCCATCCAGACGACGTCTTTTTCAGAGAAGTCCTTGATTATTTCAGCAAGACAATGAAAAAAACACATTCTGTATGTATTACAGCAGCATTGCTCTGTATTAAAAGAGTCTGACCTGTCTGTAGTCCAGGCCAGTCACCCACCGAAAACAACTGGGTATTATGAAATGAAAAATATGACAAAGGAGACCCTGAACTGTTGAGCAGCTGAAATCCAGGATCAAGTAGGAAAACATTTCACTCTCAAAACTACAGCAGTTGGTCTCCTCAGTTTCCAAAGTGTTATTAAAAGACGAGGTCATGAAACACAGTGGTAAACATGCCTCTGTCCAAATTTTTTTGAAACGTGTTGCTGGCATCAAATTCAAGATAGGCTTATATGTTTTAAAAAAAACAGTAAAATTTCTCAGTTTCAACATTTGATACTATTTTATTTATGTGAACTTGAACTCAGAATACTATTGATCTGACTGTGTTTTGATCACTCTTCCAGGTGGGAGTCCATGCTCCTGATCTCCATGTACGGAGTTTACATTCTCATCATGAAGTGAGTAGACACTCCTGTTACTGAGCTCACATTGTGTGATGGGATGCTGTGTATTTCTTCCTGTGGAGTAAACTTGATAGCCTACTTTTAGATGCTTCTTAAAGCAAAGTCAAATTTACACAACTAACCCAGATCAGCCAAGACAATTTTGGGTTTACGAATTTTGTTTTCTTTAGCATAGCGCTAGAGATACGAGGCTGCTGTTGCTAACAAACATTAGAAGTCAGTAGTCACCCAAATTTATTTATTTTCATAAATACAACCACAAAACGTGTCTCAACCTGTTTAAACCACATCCAGGTTTTCATTAAGGTAGTTCGAAAGGTGTGGCGGCACTTCACAGGTCTTGGAGGAAGCTTGCTTTAGTCTTCGTCCTCCTAGTGCTGGTGGTATTCTGTGAGAGGGGGAGTCCTAACTAGTGGGAGGAATTGGAGATGACTAAATTGGAGAGAAAATTGGGGCAAAACAAAAAATCGATTTATCGTGCAGCCCTAATGTTTACATCATATTATGATGCCTCTGGTGATTCCTACCCCTCTTAGAGAGCACTGTGGCACTCTGATCTACTCAGGCGACTCTCCTGTGTGCAGGTTCAACAGTCAGATTGCAGGCTTTGTGGAGATGCGGGTTGGGGCTCCAGGCCGCTGCTGCATCAGAGGAGAGAACCCCAGAAATGAGGAGGCTGCAGAGGAGGGAGCAAACTGCAACACCTCCATGGTGCTTTTGAGAAAAGGTTTGCTCATCTCACACCTTGATGGAGCTCATGATGTTGTATGCAAAATAGGATGGGGCTGGCATCACGTTTATCAATTATTTTGATATCTTCGTCATTTTTTATCATGCAGAGAAATGGAAAAAAAATGTCTGAAGCATTTTTCAAATCTAATTTTATGTGTGTTTTGTGTTTTTTCATATATGTTGATACAGTAAGTCAAAGTGAAAAAGGTGATATGTTACTTTGAGTGGTTCTTTTTAGATGAAACAAACACTCAACAGTCTCTCAGCAACATGTCAAAAACATATGAGGGTTAGGATTAGGTTTTGGGTTGAGTTTAAGGTTAGGGCTAGGATTAGGGCCAGGGTTAGGGTTAGGTTTGGGCACGGATGGTAAGGTTAGGTTTTGAATAATGGAAGTAACATATTAACAACACATCTACTTAATATAAGTAATGTATCAACAGAACATCTACAAGATATTTACTTCAGTGTATTCAGACACTTCGCTACTGCTAGTAATCACTGATATGTTGTTGATGTGTTACTGATACTCTGTTAAGAGTTCATTAATCATCTAAAAAAGACCACTCCAAATAAAGAGTTACCAAAATAATTGTCAGGTCATATAGGTGATGTTGTGATGGTAAACATGTTTTAAAGCGGTGTAGAAAGGCAAAATCAAAAATATTTAAAAACAGCCAGAATAGCCCAGGACTCACAGGTTAATGCAAAGCCATTTAGTGAATTTATCCAGTTTGGTATCAGCGAACAAACTCTTTACAGACTGACTGCTCTCCAGCTAAACTGTATGAGGTGAAATACGTTGTGACGCACAGCATTTGTCTGTTTATTTTAAAGGCTTTCGATTGGCTGCCTTTTTCAAAAAGGTTCTACAAAGAACCATCTACAGCACATTCATGCACATTCTCCATCAATGTGAAGAACCCTTTCATGATGCGAAAAACTCTTTAGTCATGCGAAGGGTTCTTTGAGTGGTCACGGTTCCAGAACCTTTTTCTTTACTAAAGACCCCTTGAAGCACCATCTTTTTTTAAGAGTGTACTGCAGATTTGTGGTCTGGGTTTACTAGTTCAGTAAGCTGTCATGCGCTGAGTGGTGTCACTGTAGTGGCCTCTGAGAGCCTTGAGCCAGAAGGGAAGGGGTATTATTCAAATATCAAATTTGACTGAAATGCCCATCTTTAAAAACTTTCTTTGAACTAATATATAAGTTATAGAGTTATGGAAGTGAGGAACCTAATCATGTTGTAAGTCCTGTAGAGTTTAAGGGTTAATAATTAGAGATAAAAATTATAGTTTACAAGATATTCCCTTATTTACTGTAGCTGCTCATGCTGGCTGTTCTCTTCAGCCCAGTTTGTATTAATGTTATAAGAAATGCCGTTTTGATGAAGTCACGTCATTAATCTGCCGTTTCTGCGGTTCTGGCGAGGGACTCCACGCTGTTGCTGTAACTTTGCTTTTCCTAATTTAGTGTGAGCCGCTGTGTGTTTGTGTTCCTGTGTCAGTCTGTTCGTATGTTTTGTGTCTGTGTGTGTTTGGAGCTGTCATCGCGCTGCTTGGCCAGTGTTTTGTGTAACAGTCACATTGTTATCTGTGATGGTCTCAGTCTGTTTGAGGAGGACAGTTTTGGAGCTCTGGCAGCACAACGTTTATGTCAGTGTTTAATATTTCAGACAGAAACTTCAACACTTCTCTTTACTCTGCTTTGAGATCAGCAAAACTAGTGGCAGACTTCAAAAGGAGAAATACTTCTTGGGGCTTATGTCAGGTCAGCCTGACACAGGGCAGATTTTGTGTTCAAACAGGAGTAATATCTTTCTGTGCTGATCTTAGTTCAGTTCAGCAAACTGTTTATTGCAGTGGTGAACCATAACTGACAGGCTCATGTCTACAATAATGGAAACTTCTGCTTCTCCTCTATGGGGTTTCTAATACTTTGTTAGCACTGTGCTAATGATGGTACACATTAGGGCTGGGCAAGATGATAATATATATCTTGATACATTATGTCACAATACAATATAATATGTTTTTCTGAACATATCGTGGATTTCATCAGTACCTATATAACACTGACAACTGCATGTTTCATTATAAGGAGAACAAAATTAGTCCCATTTTAGTGGTGTTGGTTTTCATGCAACACAGTATGCTGAATACTATTTTGATAGTATTTTTAAAGATGTACACCACTGGTTCTTTTTTCTTTTTCTCTTTTTTTCTCAGTTCCAACTGATCAGATGTCTAAAATAATAAATAACTTTGTGGATCGTGACAATTGCATGAAGTATCACAATATTATATTTTCGCCATATCGCCAACCTTTAGCACACATGGCCATTCTAGACTTAACATGGACATTCAAAGCTTGTAAAAGACCTTCAGATAATTTTGCTTTATGTAGTAGTTTTACAGTGACTCAGCAAAGAGCTCTGACATAGAGCTGCCACTGTTTTCTTTTCCTAGCGGACTGAAATTTGGTTAGACTGCAGTCCATATTCAACTTCAGTGATGCACCTGTTCCAAGGGTTGACAACCCACATGTTAAGAAGAGCCACAACATTTTATGTCCATTTTATTTTTTACTATCTAGGCTGTAAATATGTCTCAGTATGTGCTAACGTACTAAAATATAATATAAATGAAAATGCAGACTTACTTTGCTCTGCTTTAAGCTTTAGCTCAGATTTTCTCACATCTCCAGCAGGATACTTTTCCACAAAAGTAGAATAGTTTCTTGTAAAAACAAAAATCTCAACGTTAGATTTTTCATGAGGCTGAAGTCGCTTCTCATTCGCCAGCTTCTTGTTCAAATTTTCCTGTTCCACCTTACATGGTGCCAGAATGTAACTCCACCATATAAGGTGGAGAGCTTATAAATGCAAATGAGTCTGTTTGTCTCCAAATTATCGATGTTCGTCTTAAATCTTACTTTTTGTCTTTTTGTTAGCTGCTAGCTAGACGAGATTACTGTCTGCATTGCTATGGTGACCAGCAGTCTGTGTGCCGACCTTCAGTGTTAATTAGCAGATATAGACTACATTAACTCCAGTGTTTAAGACCATTTAGCGTTAAAACTGTGTTGAACAATCAGCAGAGCTTTATTTTACTGCAAAGGAGGATTATTTTTTTTCACCTAAAAATCTAGTTCTGCTGTGGAACCGCAACAGGGCTGTAAAAGAGCCGCATGTTGCTGACCCCTGATCTAGAACTTCCAGAAGGCCTAGAGTGACATTTTTCCTCATGAAGTTGGTTCCTTTCATTGGAAATCAAATTGTGAAGATTGATTCTACTATCCTAACCAATTGGAGAGCTCACTTGATTCTATCTACTTAGATACCACAAGACCAGTTCCCTCCTGGACATTTCAAGTTTTTAACATTTTTGTTTCCAGCCAAAATATAACTAAAACATAGAGGTGTTTTATTCAGTTCCCAGAAATCAATGGGACTTTCTTCTAGTCCTTCTAGTCCTGGAAGGCCTTCATGGTTCCCTGTTGTTTTATGGCAATGCTCTTTTGCTCTGATCTCAGGCCAGATATTTTTTTCAGTGTGAATAATATTTCTCTGTGCTGATCTGGTTTCAGTCTCTCTTACTCACCCAGTGCTTTCCGTATGAGTAATGCCTCTCTGGTCTGATCTCAGGTCAGCCTAGTGCGGGGCAGCAGGAGTCTCCAGCAGTGATGGTGGATGAGCTGCTGATCCTCAGGCCACACCAGCTCTCCTTCCCAGAGGCAGGACTGCGCATTATGATTACGCCGCACTTCTCACCCCGCACTCGTCTCAGCATGGCCGGCCGCATGCTCATCAGTGAGGTGGGCGACGCTGTAGGACAGAACACACTCGGGATAGAACAGAGGTGCCCACAGCTGGGCCTGGTGGTCTACCACCATGCGGAGTTTAGTTACATTTCCGATCTGACACATCTGACACAGTTATGTAAGGCCTTCTGGAGCATCTGGATGTTAGATCCAGAGTGGTAGATCACCAGGACCAAACTAGGGATGGGTCGGAATCTTTGAATACTCGAGAACTATTCTCACATAGTTCTCACAATAGTTCTATAATACTTGCAGGGTTTAAATACAAGCAAGATTCTGTTGAATGAAAATTAATTAAAATTACAGCCTTGCATTTTTTAGTTTCCAATAATCATAAGCTTTCTCTGAAGGCCTCACAGCTGTTATAATAGATGCTAACGTTCTCAATTTGGTGCAGTTGAAGAGCCATGCATCATGATGCATCAGTGCATTCTTACACCCCTCGTACCCAGACAAGACTGTTGCACTCTGTGCTGGTGTACATGATATTAAACTGCTCAGGATCACTGCATCTGCATTGTTACCTTGTGAATTATAACTGATGTAAATTCAGAAAGAAAATACCCTCAAGCAGTTTTCTTCGCTGTTCGGTATCAGGTGTAAATGAAGTATTTATTCAGTCTCAGTCTTTGTTTTGTGTCTCTTTGTTGTTCAGAGACAGAGACTGATCAGGGAGTCTGGGCAGGGGAGCAGCCCAGTGAAGTCGTTCGGCTCCGGAGGGATCGAGAATGGAGGGAGTGTGGAGAGACCTCTGGAAGATGGAGCGAGGATGGACAGAGATGGAGGCGTGAAAGCAGCAGACAACCCTCAGCCTGAGGAAGAGGATGATGGAGACGAAGTCTTCAGACCTCTCCATGTGCCAGGTGAGTGCAGGCCTTGATATTATAGCCTAGTTAGTATAGATCTTTTTGGTCAGGGGTGTGTTTTCTTAGTAACTGTTACTTTTTCAACTCAAGTTTTGCTTTTTTCGGTCAGAGAAGGTTTTGACAAATTCTGGTTTGAAAAATAATGTTTCGTCTGATGCACCAATTAGTGCATATTTGACTGTGTGTATATTTTTATATTATATTAAAATTCACAATTATCCAATTAAATAATTGATTAAAACTAAAATGTATGTTCTTAATTTATTTATCTTAGTGAGTAATTTTCATTTGAATGGTATCTGCAGGTCATTATAAAACCGTGTTTAGCAGATTCTTCAGAAGAGGGAGCTATTAGTCACTGAATTAGTGAAAACCCACACCAGCAGGATCTTATGAATGCACATATGTTTGTAGTTATAAATTGTATAAATAAAAAGTAAAATGGTTCACTGTCACATATTGTAAAGGGTTTTGTTTAAATAGGTTGGGGGCCTAGGCTGAACAGCAAACAGGCTAACAGGCTACTTTAGTAATCTTTAGCAATATTCAGAGTTAAGCTGTACTGAAACTGCGACATACAAAGTAAAGAATGTGCCACTTGAATGTCTCTTACAAGCTTCTAATGCTTTAAATGTCCATGTTTACGCAGAGCTGGCCAAAGTAATATTAAACCCTGTGCTAACATAATACTGAAATTCCCATAAAAACACTGGCAGAAATTAGCATTATCCTAGCGGTGCTCTGGGTACTAAAAAATATTAAATTTATTATTAAATTTACTTAAATACATACATACATCATCTAAACCGCTTATCCTTCTGGGTCGCTGGAGCCTATCCCAGCTGTCATTGGGCAGAAGGCAGGATACACCCTGGACAGGTCGCCAGTCCATCGCAGGGCAGACAGACAGACATTCACATGCACACACACATTCACACCTAGGGGCAATTCAGCATGTCCAATCAGCCTGACTGCATGTTTTTGGACTGTGGGAGGAAACCGGAGTACCCGGAGGAAACCCACGTAGACACGGGGAGAACAGGCAAACTCCACACAGAAATGACCCCGGTCACCCGGCCGGGAATTGAACCCAGGCCATTCTTGCTGTGAGGCAACAGCGCTACCCACTGCGCCACCGTGCTGCCCTACTTAAATACAGCAAGATAATATGCACAGCTAAGTTCATTAAAGATTTTCCCAGATTTCTCAGAGTAGCACTGAAATACTTAAAAAGCAATAAGTTGATTTTGTTGACAAACGCAGATACCCTGATATCTGAAATGATCTTACCACTCTCTCTCACATTAAGACACAGATGACTTGCACACATGTTTATATGCATATGTGTGTGTATTTCTAGACACTTCTTGTTTATATATTTTTAAATATGTCTATTGTGTGCATGTTTCTCCAGCTGGTTGTGCAGCTCGTGTTAAGTGGGTAGTGTCATGGCCGCTGGGTCTACTGCTGTACTACACAGTGCCCAACTGTATTCTGCCACGCTGGCATCGCTGGTTCATGGTCACCTTCATCAGCTCCACACTCTGGATCGCCATCTTCTCTTATCTGATGGTCTGGATGGTAAGATTGCTTCAGTTATTAAAAATGTAATATGCAGTACTGACTTTTTACTGACTTGAACTTTAGATCCTTTTGCCTGGAGTGACCCTACAGTTTAATTATGTTTATTTTATTAAAACGACTTAAGTGAGTCATAATCACTTAAGTCGTCTTTAACTGTTGTTAATGTTTAGCATCAGTAATAACACTTTGGCTTTACTGAACTTGAGTGAAGGTCAGTAATTATAAATGCTGTTTTGCTTATACATCACTGTTATTTGTCTTTCCCTATAGGTCACCATCATCAGTTATACTCTGGACATCCCTGACTATATCATGGGCATCACATTTTTGGCAGCAGGCACCAGTGTACCAGACTGCATGGCGAGCCTCATCGTAGCCCGCCAAGGTACGTGACTAACTCTCTCTTTTGTGTCTTCCTCCATTTACAAGTAGACAGGGCATCCTTTTATGCTATTTTATTGCTAATAATACAAAAGCTATGGTTTGGCTAAGTTTAGACAAGGAGTCACATGTGGTTCTTTTCATTTGTCTCATTTTTCATGAGTTGGAAATGTAGCCATTCCTGAAATGATCTCATGCTCATAGCTTGTCCAAACACACTAATTAGATAAATGAAAAAAAGCGGCCAAAGAAATGAGAAAATCATGTTTGAATATTATACAGTACAGCTTTGTATCTAAAGCCTACAGCAAAGGAAGATGAAATGCTCAGTGATGAATGGAGAGTGACAGTGTGTATTCCCTCTATCTGCCTGTGTCAGGTATGGGAGACATGGCGGTATCTAACTCCATAGGCAGCAACATCTTCGACATCTTGCTGGGTCTGGGCTTCCCCTGGGCGCTCAGAACGCTGGTGGTGTCCCACGGAACATCAGTGAGCACTTTTTCTCTCTTTCTCTCAAATTTCCCTGCTTTGAAAGTTTGAAGTAATGTGTAAACAATCTTTAGCCACGTTTACGAGCAGCCTAATAATCTGTTAATAATCCGACTAATAGCTCAGTTTAAATAAAATACGTCCATGTACACATCTCAACCGGACTACACTAGTCTGATTGAGGCCATTCGAAATACAATTTCTATTCGATTGAATGAGGTGGGTAATCCTGTAAATAAGCTGTTAAATAGAAGAATAATATCAGTGTAAACGCCTGTATCTGATTACATTCCCAATCGGAAAGTTTAAGTCCGTTCTGATCATGTGCGTCATGTCATAGCGAAAGTTTATAAGTTGAACATGGCGGAGCAGAAACTGGTCTGCAAAGGAGATGAAGTTTATGCTCTGATCTTTAAAAGACGGCGGTGGGACGGGCGTCCATCTTATGTGTCTCAGAACACGACGTCTTTCTCTCGGCCGTCTTTAATACAGACACGTGAAGGACGTTTTCCTGAGTCTGACATCATTTTAAAGCAGTTAAAAACAAGCACTGCTCACTGCTGCTCATCTCACTCTGACTGGAATCACATGATGCTCGTTGTCATGGTAACATCTACACTAAGTGGTGCTACACGCATGCGCATAATTTTGGATCAGATTACTTGTAGTGTGCATGTAAACAGAGATTTTCCATCAGACTGTTGAGTAGAGTGAGCAAATAAACACATCAGTCTTAATCTATAATCGTATTGTATTTAACTGGATTGGCCAAAATCTTTGCATGTAAACACATCCAATGTTTCTGTGATGTCATAAGAACCCAACACATGTACATATCCACCCATTCAGCATACAGCAGTTTAGTCCCTTGCATTCATACCTGAGTTCTAAGGAGTGCTTTTTGAATGAGGCACAATACAAAGGAGCCAATCAGAAGAGAGGTCATTTATCATATATCAGTCTTAAAGGTACAGTAACAAAAACAGCGTTTTAATTCTAAGGGATAATGAGAGGTTGGAAAATGTATGTAAAAATGAATTATACCCTTTTTTGGTACATAAAAGCACACAAATGTTATAAAAGGACATTAAGGGAAATAATAAAATACAAAATTAAATAGCAGATTGAGTTTACTGATGTTATGTCACCCAAGCTATTTTATAGAAAAAAGGAAATTAAACAATATTACATGATTACAGTACATTTCCTGTATTTTGACAGTGACCGTTTTTTTGCTTTGTTCTCAAGCATACTGGATTTGAAATGAAAAAAGGATGATGTTAGAGAGGTTGAAGTCTACCCAGTCCTAATTGAGGGGAGTTATATCTGTATTGGATCAAAACAAATCACTATATTTAGTGAATACAGGTTTAGGTTCAGTTAAAGTTAGCATTAAATAAGCACTTCAGACCTGTTTTGAGCATTTTCACATCTGAGGTTTATTTTTAGCTCCAAAGCTGTCTTTTCTCTTCTGGTTGAGTGTAAAATCTGTTTTAAAGCACAGGTGTGGTCAAAAATCTGCTTTAAAGTCGTGGTCTGTGGTTCGCTTCAGGTGAACCCTGAAGCGGTCAGCAGTGTATCTGAAAGCCAAGAAATTTCATCAGTGGGGGAGCCCTATTTTTTCCATGGTTGTCTCCAATGTGGGAACAGTATTGTTCAGTTTAGGTGGCATTAAATGGAGTTCTCAGCACTGATATCATGACAATGTGATTAAAGCTAAAAGCCCACCTGCTAATGACTTAATTAAGTCAGTTAATTTAGTTAATTTACTTAATTTTGTCATTTATTTGATTTAGTCAGTTCAGTTTAACGTTTGTCAGCTTTGGCATCAACATTAAATCAGAATATCATCTAATCCTTACCTGACAAAGATGGGAGTCAAGCTAAATCTTGTAAACTAGTAAAACGAACTGTAGTAAACAGTGATGCCCCCTATCTAACATCTAGAACCCTCCTTGTCCTTTTTAACTATATGCTCGGAGCAGCTGCCTCCTGTTTTGGACAGGGTGCTGTTAGAGACTGTCGTGGATGCAGGCTGAACAGAAAACTCTGCGGCTGTATTTAGGCTGTACTATGCAGTTTCATTACTATGGCCTTTATTTTAGCTTTACGCTAGGATTGGTGGGGTTCGTTTGCCGCTCACTTAAACCAAAGTTGCTGGTGCTCCATCCTGGTCCAGTTTAACCCCTGCTGAAAGCTGTCTGCTCTCAGCACAGCTAATAACGTGATTGGTTTACACCTCAATCTCCGTTTCCAGTGTAGGAATGGCATGGAAAGGAACACTGTGGTCTGTGGAGGAGATGGAACATGGTGCAAACGTTCTCAAGTGAAAATGGCTCTTTTTTGGCTGGCAGGCTTGCACTCAGTGATGTGTAACAGCCACTAGTAACGGTACAGACTTATATACTAATTGAACAAGTCTGTGCTGGTTACATACTCAGTGCTGCAGACAGGTATCGTGCCTGTGCGAAAGCTGCCTTTGTACATTTTAGGATGTCCTCTGACCACAGCATCAGGATTCACACACCAGAAAAAAATGACTTTTTTGGGAAAAACACATTTGTAAAAACGTGTCTCAGCTCTCGTTTATCAGATATACGAATGGCCTCAAAATGACAAAATGGCTTCAGTGAAGAAGCAATCAGGCTAAAGCTAAGCAGCTACACACTCTGGGGCAGTAACGAAACAATTTCGCTGTTTCTTACTAGAATAAACACAGTTTTGTGGTAAAATTAGAGACAACATCATACTACATGCGCTTTTATTATGTTTTTTTATCGGACAAGGATTAAGCTTCGACTCACATGCTGTCACTGTGTTTGCTCCTGTGTCCACTTCAGAGCCAGTAAATTACTGGAAAAAGATGTAAAGCTAATAAATCAAGTCTCCCTTCACCTTAAGTCTGATTTAACCGTATATCTCGGTTATTTCACCTTAAGTCTGATTTAACCGTATATCTCGGTTATTTCACCTTAAGTCTGATTTAACCGTATATCTCGGTTATTTTTCACACTATTACTTGAATAAGAGGACTCTAAGTAGCAGAGGCCTAACTGCAAACATTCCTGCATGCCTCCAGTAAGCACTGTCCATCGTCGTTCGAATGTTGGTACCAAAAAGAATAAAATAGGAAAGCATAACGATGTCAAAATCACATCTTTGCCAGAATCTTTGCTTAAAAAATGATTGCCATCTGTCAAATGATTAGACTTAACCAATATTTCATGGAGAAAAACTTTGCAATATAGGGATGAAAAAAAACACCTTACAAAAAACGTGATTGCAAACGTGATGGCGTGTCCAGTAATTTCTTCCACGGTTTGGAAGAAATTCTCCTGTTGGAAAACAAACCTGCGATCTCACTCAAACGGGCCCAGAATCTGTACTGGTTGCGGACGTGTTTGTGCCACGTGTGAAAACGTCCTTAGTCATTGTTCCATTTCAAAATTTGGGGCGCTGTCCAAACTGCATTATGTTTAGCCCCTTCATCTCCATGGTCCATATTTGGATCCACTCTTCAGTTCCTCACTCATATAACTACATTACTTTTCCTTTTCTAATAGTTACTGAATCATTCATAGTAGCTACTGACGCATTTAAACACATCCAGAATTTAAAGGGTTAATATGCCATTTCAGGAGCAAAGATAGTTATGCAAGCCTTTCTATTTATATTCTGCTGTCACTGATTCTTTCCATGTCTTGTCAGGTGTTCATCAACAATAAAGGCCTGGTGTACTCAGTTATCCTGCTGCTAGCCTCTGTCTTCCTCACAGTGAGTGTCTTTACCCCACAAACCCTCTCACTCTCACACACGTCAACAAATCAAAGCCTCCATTTTGCTAAAGACAGATTCACTATATGGCCAAAAGTATGTGGACGCCTGACCATCACATCTATATGAGTGCTGTGAGTTTGTATCGTCTACTGCTTTGTGGCTCAGCTGTTGTTGCTGCTTCTGTGTACTTCTGTTTCACAGTAATAGCACTTACAGTTGTCCGGGGCAGATCTAGCAGGACAGAAACTTCACAAACTGACTTACGGCAGTACGACAGTGTTTTAGGGCCACGGTTAATAAAAATAAAAATAGTAGACTCCGAGAAAAAAGTCGTAATATTTTGAGAAAAAGTCATAATATTTCGAGAAAGAAAGTTGTAATATTTGGAGGATAAAGTGGCCTAACTGTAGGGGGGCTGCCATAACGCATTGGGGTCTCGGTTACTGTACTGGCACCAGAACTCCGCTCACTCCTGTCTATTTGTTGATCGATCATTTTGATCATCATTCTCACCGTGTGAAACTTCATGCCCTCTTTGAATGGCACAGAGATGTAGCCACAGATAGCTGTGCAGACGACCCTGCCTGCGATTCTCCTTCAACAAAACAGACAGACAGTTTCCTCCGAGTCCGTCTGGCTCTTTATGATAAATAAACACAGTTTCCTGCTCAGCCGTTTCAGCCGTTTCTTATACTAATAACAGGCTGGTGCTGATGTGCCAGGAGAGACAGGGAGACTGAGTATTTCTTTATGGGTGAAATCGATATGAAAGTATAACTCCACCAACACCCCTCATTTCAACACGAGGAGGTGCTGCCTTCCCTTTGCAAAGCCTTTGGCCACAATATTGCGACCTTTCCTGGTATTAATGCCACTTTAATGTCGTAATTCTAAAACTTTTTTTCTCGAAATATTATGACTTTATTCTCGAAATATTATGACTTTATTCTCAAAGTCTACTATTTTTATTAACAGTGGCCCTAAAACGCCGTCGTATGGCAGAGGCGGCATCCTATGACAGTGCCATGTTTAAAGTCTCTGAGCTCTTCAGTACGACCCATTCTGCTGCTAGTGTTTGTCTATGGAGATTGCATGGCTACGTGCTTGATTTTATACACACATCTCTTTTGGCCATATAGTGTCCACCACATGTCCACAACAAAGAAAAACACTAAACAGTTCAGGCAGAAAGATCAAAATTGATCAGTAAGGCTTATAAGCTATAGTCCCCTATCCACACAAATCCATTGATAATAATCGTTTGCTGAACAGGTCTTGGTTCTGCTGAAAACTCATTCTGTTGATTCTTCAAGAAATGTCTAAGACCTTGTCAAGTATGCCAGCTATGCCTATAAGAGGGTTGCTACAAGTTGCCAAAACAATCCTGTCTATGTTTTACCCACACAGATGCAACTGACCACCTAATTTACACAACGGTCATGCTTTTTAAGTATTTCTAGGTGACTTAAGATTAAAAAAATTAAAACTGTGCACTTTTTGGAGCAACCTTTGGGTTCCATTGGCCAGTAGGTGCACCTGGGCAGTCACCCAGGTCACCCATATCATAGATCTGCCCATTCTTGTTACTTTTGTAAAATAAATAGTTGTGTGTATGCATATTGAGTTGTGTTTTGTGTATCAGGTCCTGAGTGTTCACCTGAATGGCTGGAAGCTGGATCGGCGATTGGGTCTGGGCCTCATGCTGCTCTACTCCATCTTCCTCCTCTGCTCCATCCTCTTCGGCCAGCTTTAGAGCCAGCGACCTGATCCACGTCCAAATCCATCCTTCAAACCGCTTCATTTCATCATTTGAGTTGATTCATTTCGTGTGGTTTACACTGGATACTGTCATTCATTACCTGAACTGAACCTGAGGCCATCGGTTCCAGAGACAGCGGAGGAGAAGACTTCTTAAAAACAGAAACTGAATGAAGGAGATGGAATAACCATTCAGACAGACAACTGCAGTGAGCCCACCGTCAGTCCAAACACAGAACGGTTCACACAGCTTCACAGAAAGCTGCACAGATGGTTGAGTGAAAACACTTCCTCCTCATCCATGAAACCTGTGGTGCTTACCTTCGAGAAGGGGTTGCAGTACTCAAGGCTGTCAGAGTCTACTGACCACACAGAAGTTGCATCGCTTCTAAACACTAAAAACATGTCATCTTGTGGCCACTTCAGCAGATTTACAGTACATAGCAAGATAGGATTATGCAGCACTGTGCAAAAGTCAGAGACCACCTGTTTGTTTGTTTGTTTAATTTCCAGTCAAAATGGACATTAAGTACAAGTTATTCATTTGTTGGTGTCACCAAAACTGACCCAATCAGATTTAAAGCTTTCATCTTTAAGAGGAGAAAATCAAGGTGCTTCAGATCTGAAAACATCCACAGGTGTTTCTGTCCATCCTTCCACTGTGAGAAGATGACTCAGCGCTGTGGGTCTGAAAGGATGTGTAGCTGTAAAGAAGACAGAGAAAAATAAATAGAAAAGAACATTTGCACTAGAAAAACCCAAACAGGACCTCCGAGATATGGGAGGTTTCCAGACTGATGAGTTAATTTGTGTTTGGGATTGTTGGATCACAAAATGCAGAAAATGTAACCAAGTCCTAAGACTGAACTTTGTAGGTGTGGAAAAATGTCCCTGCAGAATCACTGAAGAAACTGAAAGCGAGTCTCCTGAAAAGAACGGAAGCTGTAATAAAGGCCAAGAGTGACACTAAATTTGGGCAAATTGGTACCACTTTAGAAAGAGACTACACTCTTAAGAAAAAAAGGGTTCTTTGGCTTATAACAATAGTGGAACCCTTTTTGGTGCTATATAGAACCATCTACAGCACATTCTCCATCAATCTGAAGAACCATTTCATGATGCACAGAAGCAGAACCAGAGTGTTCATGGTTCTATATAGAACCATTTTCTTTAATAAAGAATGCTAAACCAATCATCCTCTTTAAGAGTGTAAAAAGGGTTTATGGATGCTTTAAAATGAGTTTATCAATGGTTACTACATTAATAATCAGTTATAAGACAGTAATAAAAAGGTGAGCTATTATATCTGATGAATATGAATGTAATGCTGTGAAACTGTAATGCTGACAGTTTATTGCTGACTGATGGAGTAGATAAGTAGATAGGTAACATCAGTAAAGATCAAAATCTGAGTATAAATGATGTGCATTCACTATTAGGCAAACAAGAGGTCATTGTTTCCCTTTTTATTTGTGTTGTAACTGCTTATTAATGATTATAAGGTGCTTATAACCTACTTAATAACCATTAACCCCTTACCAAACCATGGGCCCGCTGGCAGGCCCAGAGTGTTATTACACACTTCTATAACCTAGGAATAGCTCTATTAGTTTGCATTGACGTCCCTGTAGTTAATGACGAATAAGTTCTTAGTATATAATAAGTCTGGATTGTTAAGGGGTTAATAAACTCATTTTAAACCGTTCATAAACACTTTATAATAAAGTGTTTATGAATGGTGAACCCACATTTATTAATAATGTTAAACCTCAGATTTTGATCTTTACTGATATTACTTTGTCTTCTCCGTCAGTCAGGATTTAACGGTCAGCTTCCTCACATATTCATATTCATTAACCCCTTAAATGGCCAGGGACCAGTGTGTTATTACACATTTCAATAACCTAAGAATAGTTCAGCCAGTTCACATTGAAGTCCCTGTAGTTACTGAATAATAAGCCTTAGTATGTAGTAAGACTGGGATTTAAGAAATTAAATATAACAGCTCACGTTTTTATTAATGTGTTATAACTGCTTATTAATGATTCTGAAAGTGTTTATGACCTATAACTGTTAATGAAGTCATTTTAAACCATTCATAAACCCTTTATAAAGGTAGTCTTATTCTGCACTGGTAACGACAAATTTAATATAAAGTTTAGTTGTGTAATTTTCTGTTAACTTTTGTTTTCTGCTTGCTGGAAAATGAACAACTTGGACTTAATAGCCGTTTCCACTAGAAATGAAACACACGAAGGTTGGACTTTTGCACAGAGCTGTAAATACATGACAGCATGAAACAGAACCATTTAAACCCAGTCTGCTTCAAACGTTCACCTCATACGAGCATGGAGTACATCACGAGCTGAAACCATTACAAGGTGTTTATTGTGTAAATGGTATGATGCGGCTTTAAGAGGTGTCTAAACGGAATAAGGAGCACTCGCTGAAGTTCACATTTGATGTGCTGTGACTTTTTAAACAAACTAAATAGCCGTGTCGATGGAGCATGCATGCACCTACGTCATACAGGTACAGTTCATCCGGTTCCAACTTCTTGCCTCCAACTTTGGAAACTAGTTAGGTTTGTGTTTGTATACCCGAGATGTTCAGTAATCTTGTTGTGTTGTAATTACAGTATATGTTTTGCACTGACAGTAGCAATACTTCCGTAACTGTGGACAAAAAACGTCCCGACGTGTTTTGGATGTGAGACTTATCGTTAGGGTGTCTGAATATTTTGAGCGAGAGAGAGAGAGAGAGAGTACGAGAGAGAGAGATAATAGATCTACAGAGATTTCAAATAAAGATGCAGTTTTGTTACTAGCGTTCCTGAACACAAAGAAATGTTCATATAGTTTTTCTTCACGGATTTTTAAAAATCACTTGTAGGAAATATGACGTGAACTCTCGGATTTTTAGACTTTCTAGATTAGCACTGTTACTATTTAAGACGTTTCTATTTGCAGTGAGTGTCACGATGTTTGATAAAAGTTCGTACGGGTTTTGTTATCATGGTTGTGTATGTTTAGGTACGATCAATGTTTATATTTCGAGATAAAAATGTATTCAAGATTAAAAAAAGAATTTATATATATATATATATATATATATATATATATATATATATATATATATATATATATAAATGATCACTGTTGTCGGAACAAAACCTCGTATCTCCAAAAATAGTAACTTTACAGGAGAAGTAAAAAACATAATTCCCTTTTAATGAAAGTCAATGGAACCAGACTTCTTCCCCAAGTAATTTTGCGCCGTTTCTTTTGGTCCATTCATCATGAAATTTACACACAATATAAAGGCCAACAGGCATTTTCACATAATGACAAAAACTGAAAAACGCTAAAAATGGAGATACGAGGTTTTCTTCCGACAGCGGCGATATATATATATATATATATAGTGTGTACAGCATTATTAGTATTAAAAAAAAGTACAAAGTCATCTTTACTGTTGCTAAATGTTTACTAAACAATTGACCTAGTTTTATAAAGAATTACGTCAGAGCCTAGATTTGTGATGTTTTTAATATTTATATTGAAGAAGAGCATAAAAAGTATATGTATCAGTACCTGTCTTACGTTTCAAAGCATGTTTTTAAGCATTTGTTTTCATTCTGTGTTGGACAGACTGTCCCTCCAAATATCGTAGATTATCAGTTCTGCTCAGAGAACTAACTCTGTTTGTTTTTGTTTGGTTTTTCCCTTATTTGTCAGAATGGTTTTCCAAACAAAACAGATGCCTCAGTTGATGTACATATTTATTTGAAAGGCAAAGTGTTTATTCTTTGACCGTTCTTTGTAATGATTCTTGAATACGGATGGTATTTAAAAAGAAAAAAAGCAACCTAATATATAGGATGTCACTCATTTTACTTTGTTTTCTACACTGTATTGTCACTCTTCTGCTTTTACCATTGAAAGGGGACTCTACCATTCATGTTTATTTCAGTTAGACTTGAGAATGTTTAGTAAAGTTCACTTGCGTATCTGTTGCTAAAGGACAATTCCAGAAGTACATTTCTGCATAATTCAGTCATTGAGATGTAAAGTTAGAGCGGTTTAATGTGAAATGTAATACTGTCTGATCATGCTAAAGACACCTATATGAGCTTATTGGACATCCCATTCCAAATACATGGGCATTAAGGTGGCGTCTGCCAAACTTAGATTTGTCCATCAGGCTGCCAGCATTATTCATCACTCCAGAGAACTGCTCCAGAGTCCAGTGGCGGCGTTTTACACCTCTCCAGCCGACACTTGGCATTGCACAGTGATCTTAGGCTTGTGTGCAGCTGCTCAGCCACGGCATTTCATGAAGCTCCTGACTCAGTTCTTGCGCTGATGTTGCTTATAAAGGCAGTTTGGATCTCTATAGTGATGCCTTGCTCTGTGAGTTTGCGTGGTTTACAGCTTCGTGGCTTAACTGTTGTTGCCCTTGGTGCTTCCATTTCACAACAATAGCACTTACAGTTGACCAAGGCAGATCTAGCAGGGCAGACATGTCAAGAACTGATGAGGCAGAGGTGGCATCCTATGACAGTGCTGTGTTTAAAGTCACTGAGCTCATCAGTACGACTCATTCTACTGCCAGTGTTTGTCTATGGTGATCGCATGGCTATGTGCTTGATTTTATACTCCTGTTAGCAATGGGGGGTGGCAGAAATAGTTAGGAGGAGGGGCGTCCATACAGTAGGCATACAGTGTACCTCTCCACCATGGATGTATTTATATACACTGCAGGCCAAAACCGTCTCTCGTAAAACAACGTCTCAGGAATCAGGCAGCGCATTTTGTGTAAAAACTTTCTGTCAGGAGCTTTTAGGTGCTTTGAATGCTTCAGATGTCTGGTTCCCATCACCGCCACTATGACGTGGTATTTGTAAATCAGAGCATTTCACATTAAACCACTCTGAATGACTGTGTTCACATCTTAACCATTTAATTATGCAGAAATAATATTTAAAAAATTCATGTTTTTCTGATATTTTGGTCTCCCCTTGTGCTCGTCTTACTTTAAGAAATCAGTGATCACCGTTATCTCGCACTGTCTGGCTTTAATGAGGGACTCGGTCTTTTGATTCTCTCAGTTTCACTGATTTCACTCACTGAGACATTGACGCACCACATCACTGAAAAGAAAAAGAGGGAAACTGTATCAATGTAGACTCAAATAAAGTAACTCTTAGAAAACTTTGTATGTTGTTGAGTGCAATAAACAGACCTTATGTGCAATAAGACTCCAGCCGCCCTTGTACCTCTGTCTGTGAAAGGGTCAGCTCTGGCCTTTCATTAGTCGCAAGCTAAAATATGCGAATGACCTTTAAGTAGCTGCACGATGTTCTAAGTGTGACTAATTACCAGCAATGTGACAAATGATTGGCAAATCGCCCTCACGAGCACCGTTACTGCCCGTCATATTTAATAGATCAGCCTCCACTGTGTGCAGGACTAAGTGAATGCAGTGCACCAGCACCCTCTGTCGTTAACTTGGATTCAACACCAGTCACTGAACCGTCCGGTCACAGGAAGAAAAACACAACTATGCTATAAATGTTCAGGCATTGTTATGTTTGCTGTGTTTAAAAATGTATCTGGACACAATCGGATCATGGGGCATCTCATTTCTAATTTTGTGTATCGTTAAACCCACAGCATTTAATACACACCGACAGGCCACTTCATTAAGTACAGCTCCTTGTCCTTTTTACAGGACAATTACAGACTGTAGTCCATCTGTTTCTCTGCACATTTGTTTGCCCCCTTTTACCCTCTTCTACAATGGTCAGGACCCCCACAGAGCAGGTATTATTTGGGTGGTTAATCATGGTGGTGGTGTTGTGTTAGTCGCGCTGGTATGAGTGGATCAGACACAGCAGTGCTGCTGGAGGTTTTAAACACTGTGTCCACCTACTGTCCACTCTATTAGACACTCCTACCTTGTTGGTCCATCTTGTAAACAAAGTCAGAGACAGTAGCTCTGCTGCTGCACAGTTTGTGTTGGTCATCCTCTAGCCCTTCATCAGTGGTCACAGGACGCTGTTAGCTGGATATTTTTGGTTGGTGGTGTTTAAAAACTCCAGCAGCACTGCTGTCTGATCCACTCAGACCAGCACAACACACACTAACACACCACCACCACCACGTCAGTGTTACTGCAGTGCTGAGAATGATCCACCACCCAAATAGTACCTGCTCTGTGAGGGTCCATGGGGGTCCTGACCATTGAGGAACAGGGTAAAAGGGGCTAAAAAAGTATGCAGAGAAACAGATGGACTACAGTCTGTAACTGTAGAACTACAAAGTGCACCTATATGGTAAGTGGAGCTGATAAAATGAGTGAGTGTAGAACCAAGAAGGTTATAATGATATGGTTGATCAGTGTAAATATTCACATACAGTGCACTCTACAAATATTGGCACCCCTGGTAAACAAAAAATATGAGCCGTAAAAAAACGCTTATCCTTTTGATCCTTCATCCAAAATATTAAGAAAAATCTAGCCTTTATTTAAAGTACAATAATTCAACGACAAAACCTAAATCTTATCAGGAAATACCTTTTCTCAAACCTGTGGTACACAATTGTTGTTATCCCTAGAAGTTTTGTGAAATCTACTTGAAGTATATTCCCATTCATATTCTATGTTTGTAAGTTCACCTGAACAATTAAGAACACAAATGTTCAGCCATGACTTCCTGTTTCACTGGGGAATATATATGAGATGAAACACAGGCCAAATTCCCTCAGTCCTTATGGGAAAGACCAGAGAAAACAGCTATAATGTACAACAAAAGGTTGTTGAGCTGCACAAATCAGGAAATGGCTATAAGAAAATTGCTAAACAGTTGAAAATGCCCATTTTCACTTTTAGGGCAGTAATTAGGCAGCAAAAGGAGATGTTATAAAGGCAGACTGGACACACTACATATTGAAAATGTTACATTTAGTTGTTGAGGCTTTGTGGAATTTTTAGTTGTTTTTTTGCTTTTGTCTGATGCGTAAAAATGAATACTGGAAATCAGATGAAAGGATGTCTCTTCTGCACAGTGCTGTAGTTACATAGCAGTTTACTGTCAGCTAACCTGGATATCATTTACTGGATGCCCCAGATTGTTTTGTTTCAAATTTGAAAAGCATTATTTGAAGCATACTGACGATTGTAGTAGTCGGTCTGTTTGCTCCTTTGGATCAAACTGATTAGAAACTCTGACTAAAAATTAAGACATTGGCTCTTCACTGCCCTCTGGTGGAGCAGAGGGTTCAGACATCTTATGGTTATTAAATATGAGCATTTTTAACATTAGAGAGAATTCATCTTCTGCTGCACCTCCTCCATACGAGTGAAGAAACGTAAGGACTCCAGCTTTTTAATTTAGGTTTGTTTTTATTTGAAGGTTAAAGTTAATCCCATGCTGTGTTTCAGTAAGAATACAGACGGTGCTTGTTGGCTCCGGTCAGAATATCCAGTAGTACAAATCAGATTCAAGTTACACATACTGAACGGATGAGAGAGAGAGGACAAAAAAACAAAAAAAAGAGAAAGAAAAGGAGGACAGACCTAGAGAGCAAGCGAGAAGGCGGGACCAAGAGAGGCAAAGCAGAGGGCAAAGAAGTCACATGGACGAGATGATGCTTAAAAAAATGAAGGAAAAATGGATCATTTTTAATTTGAGGGAAAAAAAACAAACAAAAACACACCAGTAATGCTTTCTTGCTCATGGTTTGCACTTAAACCAAGTGAGACAGAGCGCTGAAGAGTTCCCCTGTTTATTTCCTCTAACAAAGCCAAATACTGCAAGCCATTCGCTAAAAATAGATAAGAGACGGAGGACGACGAGTTTATATATAACGCTGGAGCAATGTTCTGGTAAGATAATGCATAGAGGGCTATGAGCACAAACCCACGGGATGCTGGGAATGCGTTCAAGGCATTGAGACGTTCATGATGCATCCGAGAGCCTAAACCTGCTTTAAAAGCCACACAGCAGGCCAGTCAGAGACAGAGGGCACTTAAAAAAAACAAACTAAATCCATCCCTTTAAAAACAAGCAGGAGAATAAAGGCCCTTTCTGGGTTTCCTCTTCCAGAAGAGAGAGCTGAGATTTACCACTGACGTGACCATCCCAACCACCAAGAGACAGCAGGCGATGCACAATTACAGAAGAAATAATTCTTCCAATCACACAACTGCGAATTCAATCTGGCAAGCGATACTGTACCGCCACGGCAGGCCGAGTTAAAAGCAAAGCGAGATATAAAATAAAGCCTGTATGCACACAAGACTCTGTGGGAAGCATTGCGACAGGTAAGGAATCGAGGGGGAAATTCTCTGCAACACCTGTTCTCTCTGGTGGACAAATTCACATGTGGATCTGACTGAGCCAAGTCAAAGGAGGGTGAAAGAAAGAAAGAAAGGAAAAGAAAAAGGGAAAAAACAACATTTAAAAATGCCCAGGGCGTAACCCGAAAGAGCACAAAGCTGGACAGAGACATACCAGACAAAAGAGAGAGAGAATGATGGAAAGAAAGAGTGAGCGAGCAAGCGCCAGAGAAGAGAGTGGCTTCAGAGCTCTTTCTGTGACACCATGGACACCTGAGGGGGGCAGGGACGAGAGGGATATATACGATAGAGAGACAGAGAGAGATAGAGAGATAGAGAGAGAGAGAGAGAGAGAGAGAGAGATTCATGTTGGCTGTGATGTCTCACTGGTTCTCATCTTCAACATCTTGCAGTGCTTCTTTATTCTGTTCTTCACCTGAGAGAGAGAGAGAGAGAGAGAGAGAGAGAGAGAGAGAGAGAGAGAGAGAGAGAGAGAGAGAGATAACAATTACTGTAAATGGTGGGGTGGGCTGTAGGGGTGGGATTAAAAGAAAAAAGAAAAAAAAAACAAAACAAAAAAAAAAACAAAAAAAAACAACAATTCTACATTGTTGCACAAAATGTCCAACAGTCGTTCAGATTAGCCTTTAACTGAAATGCGTCCTAGGGCTGCATGATAAATTGTGTTTTTTCATGGTTACTGTCATACTAGTGTTTGAAATGAACACATCATTAAGAGCTGTGACAACCAATAAAATGACCTTCCATGCGTGCACTGCTCTACTGTACTTTAAGTGCTATAGCAGTGCTGTACTTGTCTTAGCCAAACTCTGCTCTCACACATACAGAGTGACTTAACCACTCTGCTATAGAGCCAGTTACAAGGCAAGTGCAGGTGCACACCCTTAACTAATATGTAAAAGTAGTTCAAACGTGATGGCTATCATTAATCCCAGTGTTGTGCATCAGCATATGGATCTTTCAAGGAATTAAAATGTTTTGTAGGCCTACACTGTGAGCAAGTACTGCATAAAGGAGCATTTTCTGATTATATCATGAGTACTAATAGAACACTGAACAACTGCATGAATCATAAGAGATTTAGGGCACTTAGAGAGCATCTGTAAACAAGAAGAAAAACAACAAAAACCAACAACCACCAACAATCAGTGTATAATAAGAATGTATAATAATAATAATAATAAGCTGCCTGGATATCAGCCCATATGACATTTTATTTCATTCATTAATGTCACTTTTGCAAATATTTAATTCAAAAATTATACTTTTATAAGAACTAATAGTATATAATGTAATCAGTTTTTATTTTTTGATTATGATGTAAAAATAGAGAACTGAATATCATTTTGCACGTAGTTAGTGGTGGTTATTATTATTACACATTCTTATTATACAGCAGTTGTTGTTGTCATAGCTCAAGTATAATGACATCGGATCATAGGACCCCTTCTGATTCCCACCCTAATGTAAAATCTAACGGCCTGGTCAAAAGCTCTCAAACAAGGCCATTTGCCAAATTCTGAATAATTATAAAGCATGCAGTTGATCAGTGTTCTTTAAGTACTGACGATATTCACAATGTGCTTAGAAAAGCTATTGTTTATAATGATAATGATAAAATATTGCCATATTGCCCACCTCTCTGTGTAATACTGGGGAGTCCAATCTTATTAAAAAAAAATGGCCGGTGTAGTTTTGTTGGAATGAAAAGCAGATACATGGACTTAGTCTTAATTGACCATACATCAGATTAAACAAGTGGAATTAGGTGCTTTTCTGCCCGATTCAAATGTAAACTTGTAGCCACAAGAGCTTTTTGCAGATAAGACTGGACATCACAGTGCATCAAAAAGTCTTATAGAACTGTTATATTATATAGTACTTCATCTCACCCACCCTAAAGGTTATGGCATTCTATAATTACATTTCTATGCACGTGTCGCAAAAACGACAAACAGGTCCTCGATGCAATTAGACACATTCTCACTTTAGAACGTGCAATACAGACGCACCACACAGTGGCTCCAGAACAGCAGGCATTTTCAGAACTTGCTGCACATAATCAGGCTTAACTAACAGGCAGTGCTGTGCTGCATGTGTGGAAATGAAGCATGGGTGTCAAACTGAGCCCCTCAAGGCCGACCACCTCACTTAAGCTCACATTTAATTTTACCAGTCGTAGATCTCCGTTAGGACTCGGAGCCGTGAGCTGCTTGGCAGCGTAACCATAGCGACTGCATGGCTGACTGCCACGCAGCAATGTGTGGTAAGGAATTAGCAAAGTGCGACAAAAGGCCCAGAAACAAGGGGGACGAGAATAGCAACCGGTGACGTAGCGCTCGTTAGGCTAGCAGCTGGGTGACAATTGCACGTTGCCCCACTGACTGTGTGCGGAGTGTTAGCAGAGAAAAGAAGGCAAGACTTCAGGTGAGAGTGCAAGTGCAGCTCTGTTGTGTTGGTTTCTGAGCAACTCCAGTGAGAGTGAGGATTCATTCACACAAACATTCAGATTCCACCTCAAAACACCATGCAAACCATACAAAAAGGTTCCAACTGTACACTGAACTAGGGATGTAACGATATGCTTTCAGGTTCAACTTAATTTTTTAATTCTGAGGGCAAAAATAGATTGTTTTCGAAATGTCTGGAGTCTACAGAGCTCTTATTAAATACTATGCAGATGGGCTCAAATAAATAAAAGTTCTCAAATAAAACTTTTTCTTAGCTACTGCAGCTCTACCCTCTTATAAAATATACCTCAAAAGTCACAAGGCCTAGAATTTATAAGCAAAAACTAACGGCCTGGCCATTCGAAACTATCCTGTAGCTGCTATTATACTCTGCCTTTTAATGAGTGCTCTCTGCGGGATTTTTACTTTCTCACTGATTTTTTTTCTTTCTCCTCCTGATGGTCTCCTGGTTAGAGCACAGAGTCGAAGTTTTACCACCCAGACCATGTAAAAAGGTTGAGTCATTCTTCAAAAGCACTGGACGGTTTTTTTTTTCAATGTGAAGCCATCTATCTGAGAAAACATGGAGATGTGTATTCAGACAGGACAAAACTTATCAGAGCACACACTGAGTTTGGTTTAAAAAACAAATTTAAAAAAATGGCAGAAAAACCTAACCCTGTTCTCAGGGTACCTTAGGTGGTCCGTTTTGTTCCAACCCAACTCGTCTCACATAGGGATGAAGGAGATCCATCTGGGGGGGGCCCTGAGAACCAGGTTGATTACCACTGCCACCCTGATCTGAGCATTTATTTTTGCTTTTTTGCGATACTGTATTGAAATGGTTCCACCTTCACAGTAAACCAGAGTGATAAACAGTCAGGAGTTCAGAGTGCAGACAAGCTTGGAGCCAGTGCCATCGTGAACGCCTTTAAGGGCAAATCAACAAATCTCCACTTGGACACACAGCAGGATGCAGTGAAGTTAGTGAGAATCGCAGAAGTCAGCGGGTGTACGGGCGAGCAAGTGAGAGAGAAGGTGAGAAAAGACACAGAAAAAGGAGGAGATGACTTACAAAGAGGAGCTCTAGAGGGAATAAGGGGAGGGGTGGGCTGTCCTTATGAATCTACACCAGCAGGATGGAGGAGAGAGAGATGTTAGAGCACTGGGAGCATGAGTTAGAGATGGAGAGAGAGAAGCAAAACCTGCTTATGGAGGGGGAAAAAAGAAAAGTAGAAAGAAAAAAGACAAAAAAAGGAGAAAAAGAAAAAGACAGGAAAAAAGAGAAACACAGTGAGAAAAAAAAGTAAAAATTAAGAGAACCATAATAATAAACTAAAAAAATAAAATAAAAAAATAAGACAAAAAAAGAAAGCAAGGAAAAAAAATTAAATACATAGGAAAAAAGAGAAGAAAAGAAAGAAAAAAATTAAAAGGAGAAAAAATGATAAAGAAACAAACAGAAGGAAGAAAACTGGCTGGTTAGGACAGAAATTAATTGAAGAATTAGCATTTAGGGAGAAGACAGAGGAGGGGCCAGAGGAGCCCAGCCAATCAGAAAAGAGCTGATAACTCTCTCTGGAGCCACACTCAACCTGAAATCCTCAAGAATACAGAATGTGTGCATTCAGACGGCCCTATTCAGAGTCATGAACTCCTAATCAGCTAAATTTCTGAAATGATCTAAAGAACTGGTTTACAAAGTCAATAATACAAATGGTGAACTGAGGCAAGTTATATGTTACCCAAGTTTACCAGTTGTGACGCAGCACCAACCAGAAGATTCTCTGACTCTACATAAACACACTAGACCAAATGCAACAATGGTAAATATATCACTACTACTACATTTACGTGTATTGTCTGATCAAGTACCTCTTAATCTGAGAAACTGGCCTAAACAAAGACATTTACTTGAAATTATTCCATTCATAGTTCTGTTTACAAGCACAGTCTGACTTCACTAACGTTAATGTGAAACTCTCCTTCGTGGAACATGGGATTTGTAGCCACAGTAGTTTTTAGTTCTGCTTCGGCCTCACTTCGTCTCTCTCTCTCGCGCCGTGTCTCTCCTTCTAGCACCATGTGTGGACAGGCAGTTTGGACGTGCCTTTACATCTAACAAGGCAGTATCACTTTGTATAGACACACTAGGTAAGGGGCGAGTACCACCCGCTGTGTTTTTGTGCAGGTTAGCTCCAGTTAGGCAGGTTAGAGGCTTCATTCTTTTTCATTGCTTTGGCACTGTCCGTAGTCCACTACTGCTGCTAGCTTCGTACACAATATTCTCACTTCCAGCGTTCCCAGTACTGACGGCAGACTTGCCTTTTCGATCACATTCAGCCATATAAATTAACGCTGTTAGCCGGTCACTAATTCACTCTATTGACGTCTAGCTGGATGCTTTCTTTTTTTATACAGTCAAATGTCCTGTTTCCTTTTCCTACTTCACTAAAACCTTTAAAGGTGAATGTATATTGTATTACAAATCATTGTCTAAACGTGGTACTCCCACTGTCCAGGTCTCTCCCTTCCACCCCTCATCACATATTCCATGTTACTTCCCCTTTACCCCTAGATACAATCACAGGGGGACGTAACATTTGGGGGCACATCCAGAATTGTTTTTCCTGGTTTTGGTTTATGTACGTGATGTGTTATGGATTGTGTGGGGTAGTGGGTGTTCCTTTTTTCCTTCAAACTAAATCTCTCCTGAAGACTAATTCAAATTGTTTAACTCGAGGGGTGCCTCTTCCCCCCCCTCCCAAAGTCGCTTGTGCTTGTTTTGGTGCCAAAGTGCCACAAAACATGGAAATCTTCCCCAAAAAACTTTGTCACTTTCTCATTCAGGAGCTGAAACTTTGAGCTTATCCGTTTATTGCTGGGATATTTAACTCCGTTTCAGCAACCTCTGAATGTGCAGCACCCCACATTATAAAGCAGAAGCCAAACAAATCCTTCTGATGTTTATCAAAAAGTATGCGTCGTGGGGACATAGCTGATCAGTCATACTGGTGGTCTCCATGCCAATGCCAGAGACAACAGTGATTGGCTGAATGAGTTTATGCTGCTGGCAAAATAAGAGGGCAAATAAAAATGTCATGTTTTTCGTGTCTGTAAATTTGCGTTTGTGCAAGACAAGCAAATCGCTCAGCGTTCAGACTACTACGGAACCATTGGCCACATAATCAGTTTTTTTATTGTGTAACTCCTAGTAAGCTTACATGCAGTGAACAGACATACCCTCATTAAGCAACCAACAATAAATCATTTACTTGCGGTGTGAGGTCAGTGCTCAATCCCTGTGGAGATATTTTTAAACTTCTCACATGACTTATTAGTGGTCAGTGCCCTACTGAACACAAACAACTGGTAGTTATGATTTGATGACAGGAATTTCCTAACTTTCTGAGCTGACCAGGACCGTCCGAATGCACCGCACAAGAGGTGTCCTTATGTGGCTGACCCTGGATCAGCGTGTGCTTTGGCTTACCGTCTCCCTGCATGTCTGAAGTCCATAGTGTCAGGTTGTCACGTAGCAACTGCATGATGAGTGTGGAGTCCTTATAGCTCTCCTCACTGAGCGTGTCCAGTTCTGCTATCGCATCATCGAACGCCGCCTTTGCCAACCTGACCGAGAAGAAGAGAGACGTCAGAGGTCAAACCTAAAGCATTTACCAAGCTCACAGGCGTAACCTCAAAAACATACCACAGACTGTTTTTTTAACTCTTAATTCATTCTCAAAGCAGAACAAACGTTTTCTCAAGATAATGTTATTAATATAGCTACATAAACAACTGTTTTATCAAGATAACATTTGTTATGTTGTGATAATGGCATAACATCAAGATTTGTTGTGATATAAATAACTCAAGATATTAAGAAAACAAATGAAAACTTTTATCGGTTATGGTCACAAAACTGTTTATAAAACTGGTTGCAAATACTACTTGACGCCTGAGATATTGTACGAATTTAGTTTGAGATAAGACTTTGGCCTAAAACAGGTTTAAAATCTACCAAATGGTGGAGAAATACACGCAGGGCATTATAAGGCAAAACTTCTTTTTCCAGATTTACTACTATTTTACCATCAACACTACATATAAACACTCAGAAGACACGTGTAGGTCCACTGTGTGTCAGCATAGTAATTAAAATGGTTATATTTGAACTATAGACACTGCAAATATTTGCACTGTAGACGCCACAATACCTGGTTTCTATCACCACCACTGTAAAGAAATTAGAGTCGGCAAGTTTATTTACGATGCACCATCAAGCCACTTTGAACGATTTAACATCTGGATGACTGACTTAAACAGAAATTCCGGTAGAACTGCCCTTTATTAATTAATACGTGTGCAGTACACACAGCAAATCAGCCTATAACTCAAATTATAAAATAACCCATGCAAAGCATTAGGCAAACGTCATGAATTAGCTAGAGCCAAGAGGAGGGAGTGGCTGTAAAGGACCTGTCCAATCAGATGCACAGCTGACAGACATGAAGGCCTGGTTTGATGTAGGTGTGATATTCACAACTGCCTTCTATTCATAACACAACGAACACAGCCTTTTCTAAAAGAGGTTCCCATCAAGCCTACATGGTGGTTGGTGAATGAAAGCCTGATTACGATAATCCCAGTGAGTACAAAAAGAGAGACATCAGAGTCTTGCTCCAACCAGAGAGGCTTTCATGTGTGGTTACCATGGATACATGCATATGAGTACCCTCGAAATCTGTACGTTGAAACAGACTGAACCGGTGACTCTTGTGCCAAACAAATGGGAAAGAGTTATTCAAGCAATTCATTTTTATTACTAAAAGCAACACCACTAAGCCTTATCTAAAGCTGAAGTCTGTCTAGTTTGTACTGGTAAAAGGCTACACCCACTGCATAAAGCACATCAAGCTACATCAGTTCCAACCCAGGTGACTGCTCAAAGTACCTGGGACATTAAAGAAATAACTGCTTAACGTTATGGGTTCATATTACACACAAAACAGAAACTGGCTTGTTCAGTCTACGTGCCCTGCAGCTACATGCAACTGGCCACCCAAATCACAGAATGGCCGAATTAAATGCCTCACGGGTTGACATGGGTGACCCACCTGTGAGTGACTCACAGCCGTTTGACTTTGAACCATAAATAGGCCACAAGAACAAACACTACCTTTTATTTTACACCGAGGTAGATTTATATCCTACACTTTTCTTGTTCCTTTTTTCTTCGAGGATCTGCTTACAATTCTTGTGTGGTTTTAATGTACCAAGAACAGTCCTAGTTCATTTTTTGACCATTTCCAACTTCACTTGATCCATTAGGATTAAATAGGCTCTTTTTGTTACTGCACCTAAGATGGATGTATGTAAAAGAGATTGCCCTGTATTGTGTTTCATTCAAAAAGCAGTCATGGCTTAGCTGCAGTAGGTTGAATAGGTAGATACATGTTTGCTGCAGAGCTTTACTATTAGAAAAAAAAAGAAAACATTTTTAAGAGAAGAGAATGGTAACAGTTACTTTACATCTGATTAACTTAAAAAAACTAAAAAAAACCCAAAGTAATTGTGGTATGTGCAAAAGTTTGGACACTCTTCCAGGTGTAAAATCTCAGAACTTAATTTACTTGTTAGGCTTTAACTGACTCCTCAGGACTGGTTAGGAAGGACAAGAACTGTCATTAGTTTATGCTGTGAGAGTAATAAACTATCTGACTCGTCCAATCTTGCGCTAACAAGCAACAACCACTGTCTAAAATGTCTTTAAGAAATTGCAGTTAAGGGGAACCGCTGAAAACCAAAAAGTCTCAGATAGAACTGTATGCTGGACAGAAAGGCAAAGCAAAACGCCCATATGATAGCAAAGGACCTGCTGGAAGTGTTGGTGCACTGTTCTACTGTGCAGTGTTGTTTAACAAACATGATCTGCATGGATCGGAGGGAAACTACCTGCAAACTCACCACAAAAGTCAACTTTAGCTTAAAATAAAAAAATATCTAGATAAGCCATTTTGAGTGTCCAAACTTTAATTTTTCTTTCTTTTTTTCTCTCTAGGTTACTCAAATATAAAGTAACTGCAGTTACAATAGCAAAAAAAGGTAAATTCTTAAGTTTCTTGTAGAGCTTTTATTTACTTATTTGCACATTTAAAAAAAAATCATCAATAATATTTAGCTGGGGTGCCTGAACTAATGCATAAAACTGTATATGCGGGTAGGAGACGATTCGTAGAGCTGACCTGCAGGCGCGGTCCGGGGAGTTGAGGATTTCGTAGTAGAAGACGGAGAAGTTGAGGGCCAGGCCCAGGCGGATGGGGTGCGTGGGCGGCAGTTCGATCATGGCGATGTCGCTGGCTGCTTTGTACGCTACCAAACTGTTCTCTGCTGCTTCCTTCCTGTCGTTGCCCGTGGCGAACTCTGCCAGGTACCTGTGGTAGTCACCCTTCCTGTAGACACGCACACACAAATACTTCTGACAGCTGAACAGAAATTGCTCTAAGCAGTGTTTAAGAGCGTGAGACCCATTTTAAATCTGTAGCCTACAGTGGGTTACAGACAATAAGCGTCACCTTTTCTCAAACCAAGTTTAAGAGAAGTCATTGTGCAGCTGCTGAACTTTACACTGACAGGCCACTTCATTAAGTGCTACACTCACTGTCCATTTTATCAGCTCCACTTAACACACAGGTGCACTTTGTAGTTCTACAGTTACAGACTGTAGTCCATCTGTTTCTCTGCATACTTTGTTAAGACGCCTTAACCCTGTTCTTTAATGGTTAGAACCCCCACACAGCAGGTATTAGTTGGGTGGTGGATCATTCTCAGCACTGTAGTGACACTGACGTGGTGGTGTGCTAGTGTGTGTTGCGCTGGTACGAGTGGATCAGACACAGCAGTGCTTCGGCTCAACTCGGCTCGGATTGTTTGCGCAATGTTCGTCCACTTCCTGTAACCGTTAAGTCATATTAAAAGGCCTCTGCAGAGTTTTGTAATTGCAACTTCATGACATTTCATAAAATTCTGAAGCAGCGGTGTTCCTAATAAAGTTTTCAGTTATATGGCACAAACAATAAATAACCTAACCCTAAATATATAGCAGAAACACGCTATTATTACTATTACTATTATTATTATTATTATTATTATTATTAGTAGTAGTAGTAGCAGTTGTAGTAGTAATAGTAGTTGTAGCAACAGAAGAATTGCTAGAAAACACTGATGAAGACCCACTTAAAGGGGAACTCCCTTTGATTTTACAAAATTAATTAATCATTTAATAGTTTAGATGTGAACAAAATCATTCAGAGTGGTTTGGTGTGAAATGCGCCTTTCTAGAGAAGTTTACAGAGTCAAAATTGTTCACCACTGTAGTACTAGGAACCAGACATCATTAGGTCTACATTACAAATATCAGTTTTTTTCTGCTATCCAAAATGACCAGTGAACTTTTTTGCGTCTTGTAAGTTTTTACATGTCACGCTGATAATAATAAAATAGTGCTAAATTGAAAAAATGTGTTTTCATTGGGTACTATTTTTTGGAGAAGGGTCTGACTGAGCTGTAGATTTAAACACCAGCTGTTTTCCTCCAGCAGAAACTGGAATCAAGGTAAGAAACATTTGTGAGTGAAATTGATAAGGATCTACGACATTTTGTAAACAGACCTCCTCGAAGTTCCCTGCATGCTCTGCAATTTTCCAAACAGGTAAGAAAACCGTAAAAATGAACTGTCAAAAAATCTAAATCAAAAGCTGTGGCTGGCATTAGCCGTGTTGAACGGCTGTAGCTACAGGCTAATAAGAAAAGCCTGTTAGCTCACATGTACGGATCTCAGTTAAGAACACAGTTTTGAGAGGAAACACGGAAGTGATCCTGGAGCAAAAGTTTATACTGAAAATATGTTTTAGGCCAAAACTTTATAACAAAACACAAAACAATGCTTCATGTATCAAGCAATGCATTTATAACCGTTTTGTGTAATAACTTAACTGGATGTAGCTTTTAGAGCCATGAAGTGCTTCGGATGTCTGGTTCCTAGTACTATAATGGTGAACAATTTTGACTCAGTAAATTTCTCTGGAAAGGCACATTTCACACCAAACCACTCTGAACGATTTTGTTTACATCTAAACCATTGAATGACTAAGTAATTTTGCAAATTTGGTAGAATTTCCCTTTAACTAAATGACTATAAATAATGTAGTGAAGGTTCATAATGTTCCTCTGGGAGAAAACTACTTGGCTAGCACACTCCAGGTGATCTGAGTCTGAGACTTGCCATTTCGCCTAAAGTACTGTAAAACGCCCCGTTTCTCCTGATCTACAAGAGCTGAGACACGAGTTTTTGATGCTGTGGTCTGTACGTCCTAAAGCACATATTACACCATATATACAGCTTTTTCAACAGGCATGATATCTGCCTGCAGCACTGAACGCAACCAACCAGAACAGCTCAACAGCTAACGTTTGTAGAACAATCGCATTTAAATTACATACAACAAATGTGGTGTTATTGTAGGACACATCACGTCACCCAGCACATTTAAAAGTTCAGTTAGGTTACATGCAGTAATGCTAGTCTCTTGATATAATTTGCATGAAATAAATCAACAAATGCACAACAGGTCATTAAACAGTAAAGGAAATGGGTTATCATAACCACTGTGGGCTGTTACCATGATAACCCATTAACACTAATAGCCAGAATAACATTCAGTCGTATGCAAAAGTTTGGGCGCACCTGGTCAAATGACGTTTTGTTGATTTTCTAAGTGAAAATAAGTTACCACATCCCCTACAGAGAACATGCATCTGCACACTGTGATGCATAATCACTGTTTATTTGCTGAATTTAATAAAATGAGGAAAAAACAATGCTGCCTGTGCAAACGTTACGGCACGTTTTATCTTATTTTTATTACTTCCAATATGTTAAACACAGCAAATAAACAGAAATTATGCATTAAAATGTCATATTTAAGGTTGTTCTGTGTAGAGGGTGTGTTAACTTACTTTTGCATACGACTGTGAGTGAGTTCAGCTAAAGCCTCCATAAAAAGGAGGCACTGAATGGCATGTGTGCTTTACTTTGAATAAGGACTCACATTTTGTAGTAGAAAACCTTCGACTCTCCTGTGTTGGCTGCAGGAATGAGGTGTTTGTCCAGTACATCCAGAATGTCGTTACAGATTGATTTCAGCTCTTTCTCGACCTATGCACAAAAGAGGAAAAAAGTTTATTATGCACAGTAAATAAAAAAAAACAAAAGAGATGCACATAACTGACAATAATGCTCATTTTTGAGATCAATCGTTTGGAGACAAATGCACATACAAACAGCGCAAGAAAAGAGAAAAGCCTCTGCTTAGCAATACACTAACACAGCCAAAAACAATGAGTTCAGTTATAAAGTTCTAAAATTACAGAATTTCTTGTTTGACATATTATTTAAACACTGTTAGCAGTTTCAAAACGTACCCTTCTCTTCCCAGGCCAGTGTCCATATATGGAAACCAAGCCCTAATAAAGCGCTCATATAACTGAGCGCTTTATTAGGAACACCTTGTTTCTACACTCATTGTCCATTTTATCAGCTCCACTTACCAAATAGGAGCACTTTGTAGTTCTACAGTTACAGACTGTAGTCCATCTGTTTCTCTGCACACTTTGTTAGCCCCCTTTTACCCTGTTCTTCAATGCTCAGGACCACCAAACAGTAGGCATTATTTGTGTGGTGGATCATTCTCAGCACTGCAGTGACACTGATGTGGTGGTGGTGTGTTAGTGTGTGTTGTGTTGGTACGAGTGGATCAGACACAGCAGTGCTGGAGGTTTTTTAAATCACTGTGTCCACTCACTGTCCACTCTATTAGACCCTCCTACCTTGTTGGTCCACCTTGTAGATGTAAAGTCAGAGACAGTAGCTCATCTGTTGCTGCACATTTTGTGTTAGTCATCCTGTAGCCCTTCATCAGTGGTCACAGGACGCTGTTGGCTGGATATTTTTGGCTGATGTCCAGCAGCAACACCAAGGTGTTTAAAAACTCCAGCAGCACTGCTGTGTCTGATCCACTCAGACCAGCGCAACACACACTAACACACCACCACCACGTCAGTGTCACTGCAGTGCTGAGAATGATCCACCAACCAAATAATACCTGCTCTGTGGTGGTCCTGTGGGGTTCCTGACCACTGAAGAACAAGGTAAAAGGGGGCTAATAAAGTATACAGAGAAACAATAAAGTGCTTGGTGAGTGTATCTGCCTGTACAGCCTACAGCAGTTTAGCGCCACCTATTGTCAATGAAGTTATAAGGAGTGTTTCAGGACTACTTTTTGAATGAGGCCCAATACAGAAGAGCTCATTAAAAGGCATAATTACAAAAACAGTGTAAGAAAGGTTAAGAACTAGACAGGAAAAGTGGATTAAATTATTGTTTCTGGCACACAAATCCACACAAATGTCATAAGAGAATAAATAAATTAAAAAAATTTAAAAAGTGTAAGATATGGTCCGTTTAAAAAAAGGGAGAAAGCAACTAATCCACAGTGATTAAACACAGACTAGAGCTCACCGTTTGTCTGTATTCCCGGATCATTTTGAGTTTGTCTTCTCCTCCTTTGCTCTCCTCCTTCTGTTCGATACTGCTGATTATCCTCCAGGAGGCTCTCCGTGCACCAATCACGTTCTTATAGGCCACAGACAGCAGATTCCTCTCCTCAACGGTCAGCTCCACGTCCTTCCCTGCCACGCTTTTCATGGACTCCACCATTTCTGCAGAGTGCACACAGAAAGACATCCAATGAGCAAGGCGTGTCAATTTCTGACCTTACAATGATTACGGTACTTTAAGAAATGATTAGATGCATCACAAAACCTCAAATTTCAATACAAATCAATTCATTTTAGTATGAAATAATTATTAATAATGTTTGAGGAAATGATACATTTCCTGGCCAAAACTGAAAGAAACTGAACTGACAATAGATGAACAATTTAAATTACTGAACTTCAGTAACATAAAAGTATGTAGTCTACCAACATCCTCAACAACAGAGAACTGGTGTTAACCTAAAAGTTATTTCCATTGTTTTTTAGTTATTCGTTGCACTTTGGCTCTGTCATTTGTACATTTTTTCATTATTTCAAAACTTGTGGCTACAGATGGCGTCAGTGCTCTAGCAGGAACTTTCCACTCTGCTCCTGTTGTTTTGCTATATTCTGCGTATCAAGTAGGATGTTGCGTTTTCAAGTATCAAACCTGTGGAGGAGAAGTTCCTCAGCACTGTACCTCCTCGTGATACTTGGTATGAACAGTGATTATAAACTGCTTGTCTAATATTCTTCGTAGAAATCGTGACCCATTTTCAGATGGAAAGGTTTTGCGGCCTGAATTTCGGTGGTCCCTCTCCCCCTGCCAACATCTTCACTTTGGGTTGACATCTTTAACAAATGGAAACTACAACAGAAGGTGACTCGCTGCTAAGTAAAGGTGCTCTTGCTCGCTATGACTAGACTATGTATTTCACAATCACATATCCAGAGCACCACAAAGACACCACTGTGTATTTCCCAGTGTAAGCGTCGAGCCTCAGTGGCTAATCAGCATGGTTGATAAGTTGAGACCAGATTAGTGCAGCAGATCCTGGATGAGCCGCAAGAGTGTCCATAAAGCCGCAGCAGGAGCAGCAGGAATCTTGGCATGCAGTGACAGAATTTCTAGGCCGATAGAGTAACTGATGATTGAAACCTTATTACAGCTGATAATGACGTCTCTCAACGAAAATGTACCATTTTTTAGCAGTTTAAAATAAGTTAAGACTATAATCCACATATAAGGAGCCGGGTGTGACAAAAATGTCTGAATATGGATCATGGATTCATTTTGTATAACTATGACAGATTTCATCTTGTAAATCAGAACATCCAGGGACAACCATGAGAAATTCTGGAATAAATGTGGATGTAAACAAACAGAGTGAAGAGTTATGTTACATTATGACCACTGCCTTGTTTCTATGCTCATTGTCCATTTTATCAGCTCCACTTACTATATAGGTGCACTTTGTAGTTCTACAGTTACAGACTGTAGTCCATCTGTTTCTCTGCATACTTTGTTAGCCCCCTTTACCCTGTTCTTCAGTGGTCAGGACCCCCATGGACCCTCACAGAGCAGGTACTATTTGGGTGGTGGATCATTCTCAGCACTGCAGTAACACTGACGTGGTGGTGGTGTGTTAGTGTGTGTTGTGCTGGTACGAGTGGATCAGACACAGCAGTGCTGCTGGAGTTTCTAAACAACTCAGTGTCACTGCCGGACTGAGAATAGTCCACCAACCAAAAATATCCAGACAACAGCGTCCTGTGTCCACTGATGAAGGACTAGAGGACACACACACACACACATACATATATATATATATATATATATACATATATATATATATATATATATATATATATACATACATATATATATATATATATATATATATATATATATATATATATATATATATATATATACATATATATATACATATATATATATATATATATATATATATATATATATATATATTTATTCCCATTCACTACTTTGTGCGTCTGATGTGTCAGAGAAAACAAGCTAAGCTACTTACAAAGTGGGAGCATTACTAAAATCCCCCCCCACCACAACTAGCACTGCTTCGTACTGCGCCTTCAACGATACTCAGCCATGAACATACTAATACAGCTCTAAACCACATTCTGTTCCAAACAATGTACTCCAGCAGCACTGCTGTCTGATCCACTCATACCGGCGCAACACACACTAACACGTCACCACCACGTCAGTGTTACTGCAGTGCTGAGAATGATCCATCACCCAAATAATACCTGCTCTGTGGTGGCCCTGACCATTAAAGAGCACGGTAAAAGGGGGCTAACAAAGATTTATGTAGACTTGTGGGCTTTAGTAGACAGCCTGCCTGGTCTCCTCTCTCAGCACCAGATCAGGCATCTGAGAAAGAGAATCCCATAAACAGACACCAATGTGAGACTAAATGTGCTGCCCTACACGTCATTCGATTTCAAACATGCCAGTTAGCTGTGTGAGGCCTCTGACTCTTATCTGGTTTCGTAAAGTACAGTCAGACTTTGGACCTGTTATTACTGTGACTTGTTTGTGAACTCTTTGGTGTGCAGGTCATTAAGATGAATGAGTTTTGCTGAGGTAACATTTTTGTGCTGACCACAAATGTGTCAGCTTTAAAACCAACACTTTATCTCACACACACACACACACACACACACACACACACACACACACACACACACACACACATATATACATACATATAAAATTAATGATGAACATGAACAATACATCTTGATAGGGACGTCCCAGCCCTGATCCAGTCACATGTTAATGGATCGGTATTGACTATATTAAAAGGGGTAATTCCACCAAACTTTCTAAATTTCTACAGAATTCAGTGGTTGAGATATAACTGGTAATTCAGAGTGGTTTGATATGAAATGATTCATTGCAGAGAAACTTACTGACTGATTTCTTTACAATGGTGGTGATAGGAACCAGACGTCAGGAATGCAAATATCCATTTAACTTACTGCCCAAAATGACCAGTGAACCTTATTCGTGAGTTTTTATGTCATGTTAATGATGAAAATAAGTTTTCTTTAGGGACTATTTTGGCTTACATTGCCCTGCAAGGATCCCGCCGTCATAAATCCATGTTAAAAACATCTTCTCGGCCAAAACTTTCTCAAATCTACAGTAAAAAAGCCTCAGGCATCAGGCAGAGTGTTAGAAACCATTTCGTGAGGGAGCTTTTAGAGGTGGATGTCTGGTTCCTATCACTGCCTCTGTGAACCACTGTGACTCGGTAAGCTTCTCTAGAACAGAGTATTTAGCCTCAACCCACTCTGAATGACTTTGTTTACATCTTAACTATTTAATTATACAGACATTTAGAAGAATTGGGGGAAATCTCTTTTAAGGCCATTTATTTTTAAGGCTAAATTACCCCACTGCACTCTATTTACCCCACTGTCATAAAAGGAGACAACCTATTGCTGTGAAGCGTGTTTTGTGAGGGTATCAATCAGTTTGTCTGCAACTATTTCAAAAAAGCCTAACAGTCACTAACATCTGCAACACCAGTGTGAACTTCGCCAACCTATTATGTCCAAAAGTTTTTAGACATCTGCTCCAGTGTTTCTTCGGAAATCAAGGATGTTAATGGGGAGTTTGGCCACTTTTGCCGAAGTTACAGCCTCTACTCTTCTGTGAAGCCTTTACACTTCAGCCACAAGAGCATTAGTGAGGTCAGGTACTGATGTTGGATGATCTGAATCACTCCAACTCATCCCAAAGGTACTGGATGCAGCTGCAGTACCCAGTTCTACTCCACTGATATCCTCACATATACAGAATCAACCAAGGAGTCAGAAATCCATGCGGTCAGCAGTGGTTGGCGAGGAGTATAATCATACTTGGAATATGGGCTTCTTATAACGAGTGCAGCAATGAAATTTCAGTAGGTCGAGGAGGACAATTACCACTCAGAATGAAGAGGGTGGAAAGAGACAAACGCTCACAGCATCAGTGCAGCAGCATTTAGCCAAAATCAACTCCTGTATTCCAGCATGTGTTTAAAAAGTGCTTACGCTGAATACTGAATACTAACAGTACATTCTCCACAGTCATCTTAGCCTGCTACGTTTGAACAGCATGAGCAACCAGCAGCCTGGAACGTAACAGTGACGTGTAATGATTAATTTTAATTCCCTGATGCATCGATAAGAATATCAACTGCTTTGATTAAAAAAAAAGCGTCCCATGCAAAATTTGCATTGCTCAATAATCTATTTTAAATGCTACAAATCAAAAGAATCATTAACACAGATGTTTCTTTAACATATAACACACATAAACAAACCTTTATGAACAAATGTTTTACACATGAAATACCAACACTGTGAAAAGTCATCACCCCCGATTTCAGTGTCTATACTGCATTTGAGGACTATATGTGGCGCTGTTAGCTGCAGCTCACTAACCAAGTCAGATCACTTCAATTTTCAAAGAAAATCAGTTTTTTGTAAGATTTTAGACAAAATCGTAGACAAACCACACTAAGGTTGCCTCTACGTATCAGACAGAGACTGTTATATGGATCTAAGGCAGGATCTAGTGTAGATATGGAGTTACTCCACACTATCAGTACAAAGTACCAGAGCAGTGCACTGTGGTTATTTCTAACCACACTCACCTTCGACCTTTCCCACTGAGCTTGTTGCTGAGCAACCCTAAAGGTGGGGGGAATTCTTGGCTGTTAAGAATGGCTGAATGCCTGTCCTGCATAGGTAGAGACAGCAGGTTAAAGAGTGTTCTAGCCCTCGAGCTTTTCACCGGGGCTCAGTAAGAGTCAGCACTACACAATTAAAGCTATTAATCTACATACAAAGTCAGCTTATCTGGAGGGACTGCAGGTACTGCTTGTTCAACAGAGGTGAGGAAATGTATTTTAAAAAAGCAGCACTGTAAAAAATAATAAAGTTGGGCTCGGTGTGAAAAGAAAAATGAGCAGATTTGCATTTCCAGAAGGAAAAAAATTACTAGCAACACAAGAAAACATCATAATATATAAACAAACGTAATAGAAATGGGAAAGAAAACGAAATAAATAAAGAGCGGAAGGAAGGAAATCAAAAGGACAGAAGAAAGGAGTAAATGAAGAAAGGAAGGATGGAAGAAAATAAGAGTA